TCACTATCTCAACATTTGTGCGATTTCTGAGACTTTCAATAAACTTTCCGTAAATGGAGTTATTGGCAAGCTTAAAGAAGTCTCTCTCAAAATCCGATTGTGCATTTTGTCTTTTTGTGGAGTTGAATTCAATGTACGGAGTCACAAAATCTGTTTGGTCTGCGGCTAAAACCCGATGAATCTTTTCAACTTCAAGCCCTTTGTTGACGCATAACTGGATGGTTTTCAGGGAGCATACGAAATGTTTCTTATCTTTCAAATCAGGAACAAGTTTGCGTGAGGCCTTAAACTTTTCACTGTGTAGTTCCAGAAACTTTTTGTTGAAGGGTGATAATTGATGTTCTTCAATCATTTTGCTCTCCACAGCGAGGGGGTAATCATTGTGGTAGTCATGAAGAAACGCTGGATAGTGCAGATCAACTTCCAAAATATAGCATGTTTCTCCTTCTGGGTCTATCTTGGAAGTGTCAAGTAGATCTATTTCATCCCTGTCTAGCCATCTAAAATTCTTATATGGCAACTTGTACGACATTGACTTTCCATAAAGGTTATTTGCATCCACATAATGGATGAATGATGTGGGCTTTGTTGTGTCATGGTCGTCCAAATAAGGGTTGTTGGCTTTGAAATGACGATGGTTTACCGTAGTGACTCCACCTCTCAGATTCTTCTCAATGAAGGTGTACATGTCGATGTCAGTCATGTACTCTATATTTACATTTGTCATCTTCAGCATCGCATCCCAAGAAAATCCTGGCAAACTCATATAGTGACAACAGTCTAGGCCATAGTAGTCCAAGCAAAGTTTTCTAAAGCTCTCAAATACATCACATAATATAAGAGCATCTGTTTTTACATAAATCTCCATGTAATCGAGCAAAGATTGACAGTTCATGGTTTTGTAGACATCTTGAGCTCGAGTGTAGTCAGCATCTGAGATGTCTTCTTCCCTCAGTTTACTGTAAAATGCTTGCTTGGGTGGTAGGTTCTTCTCCGAGAAAACTGAGAAAGATGAAGCATAGTCATAGAAATATACACCTTTTTCTGACAACAGTTCGTAGTTTTCTGGGAACTCTTCTTTTAATTGCTTGAACTTTTCGACACCTGACTTTTTCATATTTGATGCCAATCTATCAAGGGAAGTAGAAAGAAATGCAAAGCTGTCCAAGAAAATAAAGTTGTCAGTAAAAACAGCTTTGAACTTTTCAAGTGTCTCAGGGATTACATCCAATCTCTCGACCCGTTTAGTCAAATCTAGAAGGAAAAGGTTGAGATCATATCCTTTTAGGTTATGTGCAAATGCTGGAACCTTTTTAGTTCTGTTGAAATAATTAATGTTGCAGGAATTGCATGCTGCACCTCTAAAGTTATTTTGTTTCATCAAGTGGTCATGATCTCGAACTGGATAATTTTTTTCAGATTCCCAGTTCAATTTTCTGTTACAAATGTGACAGATTGTCGCACTCTTAAACTTCATTTCATCCTCTGGCGTCATATCTATCGGATGTTGGTTTTTTTTGTAACATTCCATCATCTCATCGTGTATGTTAGAAAGCTGTGATATGAATTCTTCAGTCACAACATTTGGATTTTCATGGCTAAAAGTGACCACTTCCGAGTTGTATTCCGAAAACTCTGACACAGTGACAATGCAAAAGCTGCAAGGTACATGTTTTTGATACTTTTCTGTGTAACTCGACGTATCTTTTTTACTGCAGGTACTGTAAGGTACAGTTAGACATTCAAAATCAAAGTAAGCTGTAAACAGTTTTTTGTCTTGCTTATGTAAGGCCTTAAACTCAATGACTCCTGGATCCGGCATCTTGACTAACTGATTAATTCCTTGTTTACAGTTTTGGTAGTGAGTCTCATGGTTCTGTGAAGATACAAAACCATGCATACATTTTCGGCAGTAAAACATCGTGTGATGATGCTTAGTGCGATGTCTCATGAATGCGTTAAAATCTTTGATCAGTAGATAATGAGCAAATCCTTCATTTTCCAAGTAGAGTAGGTCAACTGGTTCGCCAATTTCACTGCCATGTTTTAACGGCAAAACACATTCTTCCTCAACACACCACTGGAAAACAGAAATTGAGACCTTATTCAGTTCCTCAACTTTCGATATATCTTTGATCTTTACTGGGAATTGGACCGCACCCATATTTATCTTCTCGATGTGAGACAGATACTTTGTGTGTCTATCAATGTTGGAGCCTGTTGCAGGATAGAGCTTTGCCAAAAGGCAATACAAGAAGCATTTGTTGTCTGAGGACTTAATGTTTAGAACTGATCTCATTTTACTTAGCTTCTCCGGAATGGAAACGTTTCCTGAAGCAGAAAGTGGAGAGTATTTTGCAATTTCGATATGTGCCCATTGCAAATCGTCAAAAATCCAACCACTTCCCAATCGTTCGTAGGTGTCAATTCCATGCCGAATATAGCTCTTAGCACGTGACAGAAAGTCATCAACATTGTCTCCTAGTAGCAAGGGTTCACAAATTGACCTGAAAACCTTTTCAGATTGTTCCTCTTCTCCATTGACATGCTTGTGGAATGATAGGGAAATGACTAGCTGTGCTTTAACAGGATGTGACTGTAAAATGTTGATAATCTTTTGCTTAGCTGCAGTGCAAGACTCCAAAAGAATTTTATCATAATCTGAACTTTTCGCAATGCTGAGATCAAAGGACTTAAAATACCCCGAAACTGAACTACAGTGCTCATCTTTGTCCAGATGTTCATGAATCCCAGAGAAGCGGTTGCATAGAGATTCATCGATCTGAGAGCGACACAGAAGCTCATGCCTTGCCAATTTGTCCGAGCGAAACAACTTTTTACAGCTGTTGCAGGTTTCTTTGCTGTTGTGTGTCGGAATATGATGTTTTAGATTATCCGCCCTCATCCTCTTGAAACATACCGGACACTCTTCAACTTGATGTTTGCCATGTTGGCTTTTTGCTGAAAATCTTCTCTTCATTTCTGTCGAGAGCACAGAAAATCAAACGTAACGAAAAGTACAGTTTGAGAAATGAGCTGATGAAGGTCTCACTCCCGGTCCCCTTATATAGCCGATTACAGAAAAATCAACTATTACTGAAAAGGTCAAATGTAAATCAGGATTTTGTCTTTGACCAGTTCAAAAACAGCAAAGAGAGCAGGTAAAATCAAACGTAACGAAAAGTGCAGTTTGAGAAATGAGCTGATGAAGGTCTCACTCCCCTTATATAGCCGACTTCAGAAAAAAATCAACTATTACTGAAAGTGTCAAGTGTATATCAGGATTTTGTACTTGAACACTTCAAAATCGCAGGGAGAGCAGGTAAAATCAAACGAAACGAAAAGTGCAGTTTGAGAAATGAGCTGACGAAGGTCTCACTCCCCTTATATAGCCCACTTCAGAAAAATCTACTATTACTGAAAGTGTCAAGTGTAAATCAGGATTTTGTACTTGAATCAGAATTTTGTACTATAACAAAATGTATGCAATTGACGAACAAGAATTATTCTATAAACAAATTTAAAAAATGCTCGCTCAATTACTGACAGTGCTTAACGTTTGCAATTGATTTGGTATTAGTTCAAACTAGATGCACATAGTTACATTACTCAGTTAGATTAATGATCATTATACTGCAGTGCAAGGCTATTAGATTGTAAGCCGGGTTCGAATTTGCCTATATATTTATATTGATCACTGCCTACTACATCTTACATTTCTCAATTTAGTGGGAGTTCCCACATACATTTGGATGGAGAGAACGCTCTCCTAATTCCGGTTTTTCACGGGAGTCAACCCCGAACTGCGATATAGCTGACTCATGGCACTGGAGATAGACTAAGATCTCTCTAACCGAGCCGTCAACATCAGCCTTATCACAGTAAATTTTGATTGTTTTTTTTTGAGTTTCGTAAGAGTAGCTTGACACAGATTTGAACACTGGATGTTCCGATTAAATGTCTTATAATTACAGGTGTACGCCACAGAGGGGCCCAAATTGATTCAATTACAGTGATATTTACAAACATATATTACAATGTTATTATGGTGTATCATGTTACCAATGAATTTGGTACCTTTCCTAATAACAATATGACGTGTACATTGCACAGTTATGTTTTCACCTACTGTCCACTCTTGTAACTGTCATAACCATTAATTGCAGTTATGTAATAATATCTTGTTGCATAGAGGAATGATGCTACATCTATTGTTTAAGGCTGAGTTAATCAGTTGAATCTGGTTAGACTGATGGTAGCCAGCTGATTTCATTTAATTTCATCATTACACTGATAAAAATCTCCCCCACCCTAAGTCACTCTATCCTTTGTAAACTTATAAATGAGAATATTCCCTTATTGAAATCAGTCGTTAAGAAATGTGACATGATCGTTAAGTCTTAAGTACTGAAAATTGCTGACGATTGACATTGTATTTTTAAATGTGTATGATTTTTTAAGTTTCAAACGGTTTGTCTTATTTCTCATAAAGTTTATTTATGATATCTAAATAATATAATAATTTCACCGTTACACTGATAAAAATCTCCCCTACGGTAACCCTAAGTCACTGTGTGTAAGCGCTATACTAGCAGTAGGGGGGGGGGGGGCTAGTCCTACCAGTCACAGAGTGAATATAACCAGCCGAAGCTATACCAAATCATAGCTTGGTAACTGATCGACTGGCTCTCGACCGAATTCGAACCTGGATCTTCTGCTTGGGAGGCAATTGTGTTACCACTACACCACCCGGCCGACAAATTATTATTGATTATGTGACATTACCATATAAGGAAATTGGGTAAATGGTGCCTAACTTTTAGGTGATACAGCGGGGCCATATTGTATACTACTCGTGTCAAATTGGAAATGTATCAGAAATTGCAGAATTGTAAGCTGTGAAAGAGAGCTCGAATCTAATTTTAGTGAATAATTACAATAAGCAAGTTGTTTATAGCTTGGTGTTTCTGAGCCTGAAGCTGGTATCATGACCTCCTAACCTGTGGTGATAAGTTGTGAGACCCCCCTTTACTGAGAATATCCTGATATAAAGATGAGAGCTCCAGTAGAGCGAATATAGGTGCTATCACGTGGTTTTGTGTGGGCAGATCGGCACACTGTCCTAACCGCGTTTCTGGAGGGGAGATACTGATTACCGGCGGAGTCTAAAAATAGAGTTGTACGTGAATATCAGAGTAGGTCCGAAACGTAATATTACGGAATTTATTAGGTAATCTTGCGGAACACGACATTTACTTAAAAGCAGGTCACTGCTTGTACCAATGTCGATATTCAAGTGGCTAAAATGAAGAACAACGATTCATCTGGTAGTGCCAGAAGCGGCGACTGGCATGTTTCAATCGAAGTCGAAAGAGGTTCGGGCATAAAATACTCACGTATGTAAGCTTGGGTTGACTCAACATTGAGAGGAACATCTTGTTTAGCGAGAAAGTCTAGGATAGTGGCGGGAATAGTGAGATCGCTATCTGTGGGGGCGTCTGCTAGTGTGTATCCTATCAGTAACACTATCCAGTGGATATCTTCATACAACTGAAATTATAAGTCGTCATTTTATCATCTATTTAACTGTGTTCGCCGTATTTTTAAAAATAATTCAGTTTCCCAAGATATTAATAGCAGTGACCGGAGTCACTCAAGCTCATAAAAGCCTAGTCGCATAAAATTTAAAACATACGTAAAATTCATCAAAAACGATGAGGTTACCCCAGACCAACGGTGATCAAATAGACTATGTATACACTAACGACAGTAATAAAAACACACATTTAAAAATAGTAAAACTAACTGCAGTGCATTCCTCCTGATTCTCGACGAGTTTGCGGATGACACGTGCACGTTCCAAAAGGAGCGCAGTGTAGTGTGGCAGGGCCGTTTCCAGGTTGACACGTGCAAGGCTCCCCACAATCTCCAGCTGGTCCCTGAACTTTACCCGGTCATCCTCCTCTGTATCTACATCTATCTGGGAATAACAACATCTTATCTCTTATCTGTGTTTACCCGGTCTAATCGAGTGATCTAATCTATAAATAACATCACGTTCTTCACGGATAATAAGATGAGCTCATAAGTGAGGGGGTTAAGGAGGAAAAAGTGGGGCGGATGAAGCACTATATAATAGTGATCAGTGGGTATAATATACCTCGTCCATTTCCTGAATATCGTTCCTGATGCCGGTTGGGGGAGCAAGATGGCACTTAACATAACATTCCACCACTCTCAACATACACTGGTCCAGAGGGCTACGTGGCAGGGTGTCCATCATTTGGAGCAGTGTGTACCAGATATCTAGGATAACGTCCACTACATCCTGGGTTCCGCCCTCGTCCTGGTCAATGATTTAGTGTTAAATATCTTTAAAATCTTGAGAGAGGTTTATTTCAGGCACAGAATAAATGTCTGACTTCCAATGAAAGGTGGAAGCATTAGCTCATGGCTGGGTGATCTACCCTCAAATCACAAACCCTCACCCTGACAGTTCAGTGCTCACTGCTCGTTATACACAAGATGGAATGTCATTCCTGGTAACTTCCCAACACGTGATAATAGTGTGGGTGGGGTGCAGCTAAAGGTGACATAATCTTAGCTTGTTAGTTAGCACAACACTCTGTGATGAAACACTCGTACAACTTATAGGAAATCTGATACCTAGCGTAGCAGCCTTCATGATTGTGAACATGGGAAAATCTTCTTTTTGCCAAATTAGGAAATAGGAAGCATGATTTTCCCAACTGTCATCAAATTCATGATTAGTTGTCTTTTGCTTTTGAAAATGATGCTATGATTCTCAGAAATGATGTTACCATTTTGAAAAACCCGTTATTTTGGTTATTTAAGTCGCTGCTGATAGGAAATCTAATTAAGCGTCTTTGCGTCACAACATTTATTCTAATTCTAAATACGAATATTTTTATCATACCAAGAAATGTTAGACCAAATAAGCAACACGCATTTTTAGCTGATAAGACTTTTTCTCGGAAATCAGCTCCACCAAAAAGACAAAACAGCTTGGTTTCTACTTTTTGGTCACATGAAATAAATAAAGCTAAGGCATCGCGCCAGAGTTTACATATCATAATTTGTATACGACCGTTTGCTTTGTTGCTATTTCACATACTCTAGTATGAATACCGACGTCCCGACATTTGATAGACGCGAGGTGGATCACAGCGTCTTCAGACCCGTCACCTCCGAGAGTGTCATAAACAGAAGACTAGCTAAACGGCGATGTGAACTTGAACGTGATATGCACAACCGTCTTAGAGAACGGAAACAACATCGCGGTCTGCTGAGGAGCCACTCCATCTTTTTAGAGTGAGTAATCAACACCAGTTAAATTCAATGTTTGTAGCAAGCATTAGATCGTATCCGTAAATTCCTAGTAGTAGTATGAAGTGGAAAATATGTTAAAAGAAGCCTATTAAACCCGGTGACAATTTCTATAAGCATGATATCCATTCCAGGCGGAAATCAAAGCTGTGTTTCTTTGGGTACCACTTTACGGATAGCGTAAAAGCGGACATGCCCTATTTGACGGACCAAGATGCAGAGGAACTGTCAGAATATCTGTTTAGACTCAAATACATTGTTCCAGTCATGAAGTTCGTCACTGAGATGAGCCCAACAACTGTGTTCTACAGGTATGTAGATTGTGTAATTCCCTGTTTCGCAATTAATCATTGAGTAACACTAACAAACAAAGAGCGATTGGTATGATTGGTATGATTAGGCAAAATGTTTCGCTAAAACTGCAGACATAACAGATTCCTCACAGATACGCAGAAGATGAGCGACGTCTGGCACCCTCACTGCAGCGGGAACGTGTCTCCTGCTCTGAGCTAGCACGGCACCTAATGGACCGCACTTCGGCACCCCTAGTAGCTGGGAACAAGTTGCTGGAACTGATAGACACTCACGTGGCAGATTGTTCGGTCGATCTTGTTGACAACCAGCAGTTCGTGACCAACTCTCTGAACAGACACACCATGCTGTGTCAACAGATGCTGCACCATGGTAACCTCATTCCGGAGTCCTCCGAAACTCCGGAACGTTTCCAGAAGTTCAGACCGGAGAACAACTATTACCTGTGTGATAGCGAAGAGGGCAGGGACCATGTTAGACAGCTTCAGCAGGATAAGACTCTTAAAGAAGGAGAAAGAACCAGACATATCTCCGAGAACGCAAAAGCTCTTGGATCCATATTTGAGGATTGTACCCTGATAAGGTCATTCACAGGATTGAGACGAATATCCAACGAGTCTTGCTCAGCATCTCAAGCTTCAACGATAAATAGGGCTATCAAGCCTCGGCAGCATACCCTGAGAAGATCGAGCTCTCTTCGGACGAGGAAGAAAAGTAAAGCTGTTGTGTACTGGACGATGGAGGTGGAGCAGGAGAACAGACCTATCACTATTAGAGGTGAGTGTGCTGACTGATGGGTTACCAAAATTATAATCAATCGTATCGTTATTAATTACGATAATTTATTATCATTAAATTCATAGGGTGTTATCTTCAGAGCATGTCCAACGTTGCTCCTGATCCTGTCAGTGGCAAATGGTCATGATAGAAAGCCGATTGGCTTGATAAGCAATGTTAAATGATAGGGAATAGTGAAGTTGCTGATTTCAGTGATTGATTCAACTTTCAATAAATAACTTCGTAATGCTAAATTGTACAATCTACACTCAGATGAGAACACTGAAACACCAGCAACAACGCTGAATATTGGCACAAAGGAAGTAAGAAGAAGGCGACTATCATCAAGTAAGTTTGAGAGAACTTCAGTTATTTGTTTTGTATTCAGCAATTGATAAAATCAGTACGAGTTCAAACTTCATTATAATCAAGAATAAGCAAAAATTTTAAAAAGCGTTTGCCAGTGCAGCGTTTAGCATCGAAATTTACGACAACTGTGTAAAACCGAAGAAAATAAAATCAAGCTAAATATCAACTTTCTTCAGGGATCATGGCATCAGATGTAGAAGTAATTGACAAAGCAGAAGACATCCTTGAAAGCGATACGTACGCACCTCCTAAACGTAAAACATCCTTTCCTGACAAGTTGAAGATTATCTGCAAGAAACTGGTTGGTGTGAATTTGAACCATAACATCAAGGCTAAATGTAATGGTAACCTGAACAATATCTCTAGTATTGATGCTGAATGGATCGGATACTGAGAGAGCAGTTGAACTGTCTCAATTGTATCTAGTGAACTTTTATTTTATATTTTTTCTTATGTAAGATTGACATCTGAGATTTAATTGCTGCATATTCTGAAGTTATCAAGAAGTTCAATTCAAGAAACTTGTAGGTCAATTTTGATTGAATAATATGGATACATTTTCTTTCTTGAAATCCATAAAGGTTGAGTTAATTGAGTTAAATTATGTTCAAATAACCGATTGCGATGAAACACTATCATCTTGATTTATTTTACAACTATAACTTACATTATTATAGCATACATCTATGCGACCATTTTCAAAAGCTGCTTGCACTGTATAACTTATTAGTCAGCAAAGTAAAAATGATTAGTACATAGTGTGAACTGTGAAGGTTTTACAAACTAACTATCTCGTCTTATTTTGAACATTAAACTTTGTTTAAATATTAGCATTTAAACGAAAATAAATCAATTCATAACTGATAATGAACTTCAGAAGGGTAGGGTAGCAAAAACCATAAACCACAGCTTATACTAAGTCAATGGTCACAGTTCACACGGTATTTGGAAACTTGTGCCCATATCAGCAAATAACTCATCCCTTTACTAACCGCGTCTTCTTTAGCAGAGTTGAGGATGACCTTGACTGACAGTTCCGCTACAACACCCAGGAACTCCCTGAACAAGCCCGCGTGCACGTTGTCCAGATCTTGACACGTGTTAGCCCACAGTAGTTGTCGTATTGCCAGCGCTATACCGTGATCTTCATCGTGAGATTGTTGTGAACATGCCCTGTAAATAACAGGAGAATGTTAGAGTTGTATTTCTGTATATAATGTGAGAAAATAGGCACCATTTTTATTGAATTGTTTAACTGAGTAATAGTTGGATATAGTAAGTTATCACTTTTTTCGTGTGCATCCTAAAATAAGAACACTATGTTTTTACCCGGTAGCTAGCTTGACTATAGCAGCAATGTAGCGGGAGAGGAATGTAACCCTTTCATTCTGATCGTTGAAGATGGAGCCCTGTAGAGTACCCAACTGTACGATACAGTGTCGTGTAGTGTGCTGAATCAGCCTGTCTGTAGAGAATGTAGCGTGCAGCTGAAGGCAGTGGGAATGTTAAAAATGTTAAATGTTAGAGTTATGTTAAACTTTACAGTCTTAATCCTTGTTTTTCGGAATCTGCACGACTCATTGCTGACAAAAATAAGACACAAATTACACACAATACCTAGGTATTAAATAATAATACCTAATAATAGGTATTAAATCTAAGATGCTCATTGATGGAATTATTCATAGAGATCGATAACATGGATTATATGATAGATATGTGATCAGTTGAGATATAATTGATAAAAGGATACAGCACCGGGAATTCCCAGGCGGTCACCCATCCAAGCACTAACCCGGCCTGCAGTTGCTTAAACTTCCCAGATCGAACGAGATGGGGTGTATTCAACCGAGTATGGCCGTATCCAACAATATCGAAATTTATGCCACGGAATTGAATGTATCATAATATAGTTCATCCGTTCATATTTATAAGTACTAAGGCCAGGGTGAGGTACTTAATATCTTCATATATGGCGAGCAAGTTTTAAGGGAGAAGGACTGAGGCCGGGGTCATAGGAGGAACATTGATATATCATTTATGCCTATCAAATCTTTTATTACGATAAATTACTACAATTCGATCTTAATGTATGATAAAGATAGAAACTAGCAGTTATTTTGTAATTTGGTGTGAACCCTAGGAAGGCATGACAACACACGCAATTAAGTGTCCACTTTTCTTCATTATTGTTTGAGAGGGCCTCCCCAAAGAGAGGTGAGCCTAGCCCCGAGGTACTGCAATACGGGGAAGACTCGTGGTCTGGCTGAAGCAAGCTTCACATCCGAGACCGATTTCCAAAAATCAATTTAATATTGAAGCTACTCGATGAGTAGCGTATCAGATATTAAACTGATAAGAACAGATACTACACTTGATCTTAGCCAAAAGGCCGAGAAGCGATACCCACATCTACATCTCCCTCAATCTTATACACCTCACAGAACACAAGTCCTTGTGTTTGAGTAAAGACACTGCAACGCAATTATCTGTCCATTAACTCTAATGCGGTCTCTGCCAGGCAGCATGTAATGAGCCACGTGGGGAGCCACATGGGTGTCAGATGGTGAGAATACTATAGAGAGAGAGAGCAGCTGTCCCGTGACTGCTGCTCAGCGGGCTGTCACGTGACAGCGGCGTGATGTCAGCATATTATGTGTTTAGTTTAGTGCTGCAGAGAGCAATCCTCAGATTGCAGTTATGTAATGGTGTTAAATGACTGAATGCTTTCAGGTATTAACCGTTTATGTTCGATTTAGTTTGCATATTTTTGACATATTTGTCTATTTGACTAACAAAATTTAATCCAGTTTTAAAATATGACTACAATTTGCTCAATTTCCCTACTTTGGACAGCCAAAATTACTACTCTTATTCAGAGTTGCAACATTTGTTATTAAATACAACGTATGTCGCTGAATTTTGCCCCCCCCCTCCCCTGTACTTTTCGAATAGACAATAACCAATTAAGATTACCTCAACAAGTAGAGCTAACACTTTCTCCTCTTTGAGAACTGCCCATTGTACACCTGGCATCAGATTTACCACTGGCAAACTCAAACTGGACATTTGAGCCAGTCTTTTTGCTGAAGAGATAATCATAAAATATCAACGTTTTAATATGACACGAAATAATTTAAATTTATCATTTCACCAGCAATGTATTTTCCAAGGAATAAAACTTACATAAAATGACTCCGAAGTCCCAGCTAAGAATTGAGTGAAGTATGGCCATGAGTTTAATCCATTCTCTTCTGTGCTGTGCTACAGGGCTGCTCTGTATGTGATTTATAACTTCTAATGTCGACAGGAAGATCTTGTAAAGCGCGTCTCCCTGAGAACATGTTGGTTAGATCAGCTAGATTACAATGTGTGCGAATCATGCACGAACAGAAATGAAGATTAACAATATAGAAATATCTCATAGGATTTGATACGAATTACTCTGTCACTAAAGTGCATGCTCTATTTAAATATCTCCTTCGTTAAGCTAATACTCTTAATAACCTAGACCTCGATAGCTTTCTTGCAATCCAGGTTGTGTTGGTAGCTCATGTAGCTAGATAACGTCTTATCAGCCACTGTAAACTCAGCAATAAGCGCACTGGCAATCTCCAACCCCAGATTCAGTGTCTCCGCAGACTTGAACAAGCAACAAACGTTAGCAGTGAACGTGTCGAGATACGTGCTATCTCGAGTTAGGATCGATCTTTTTACTATCAGTGCTACAACGTGTAGCATTTGTCTTAGCACGTAGGCGTGAGCCCTGGTGGGATAATGGGACTGATTATTAAGGCAGGATAAGTTTAATGCTTTATATTGACAGGTTCATAAACAGGGTATGATAAAGAATGTTGATATAGGAATCACATTATTTGTCATCGAACAACCCTGTTATTTGCAATCTTAGCTTCTTAGGGAGACTAAACAGCAATTTATTATTATTAGTATTCACCCCAGGTGAGTATGGGCGTAGTTTAGCAGATAATCTCGGAGTTGATCAATCTCGTTTTCTCCAAGTAAAGCCCATTCTCTCATCACTCCCTCCTTCAGAGTGGAAGACGCTAGAAAGTGGAGATAAGGGTCGTCTGTATTCTCTGAAAAATACACTATAAGTCTCGAATTGCAATACCGACTAGTGTTGACCACAGAAACCATATTAAAACCCTATTCTCTCAACCGAGTGATTAAATAACTAAAATTGTTTATTTCTAATATTGAAGTCGTCATGCGCGTTAATGTAAACATTCGTTCGCGCTAAAAAATTGTGTGCTATCATAAATGTCTGTCTTCGCGACGTTCAACAACGTGAGCGCGCGAAGCGAAAATTCTGGGACATGGCTTATTATTAGACATCTTGTATGTATTTTCTAATCTAGCCCAACATTAAAGTTATGCCCGGTTAGGTACAAGTTACCTAAAATACTCTTGCAGATAGGATAGGGTTTATCCGACTTCTTGAACTTAAGGAGTAACGATTCGGCCTGTTTCCGCTGCTCTTGGTTGACGGCAGGTGCCTGGAGAGGAAAGTTATTTAATATAATGTAATATGTAATATGTAATATAGAGAAGAGAATAATACAATATATCAATGTATTATTTTTGAAACTTAGAGAGATTATGTTGTGATTTCAAATACTCACATTCATAAGCCTAGCGGCCTCTTGTAGCTCAGCTAGCACCCTCTCCATCTATAAAATATGTTAAATAAATAACTTTACTTATGAATGCATAATAATTGCATACCCGGCTCATTACATAAATCGTTCGTATTTTTAGGTGAATCTTTTGCAATACATACTATTTACAATTAGGCCTTTTCAATATTTCTAATAAATAAGAATTCAAGAATACACAATATACTTATTCTTATGGTTGTCTTACTAAAATGATAGCTGACAAAACATGTTACTTTATTCAAAATTTAATAAACTTTAAACAATTTCATAACTACTAGAGAAAAAAACTTGGCTATTCTTTCGAAAATTGTAACTGTAAAGCAGCACAGGTCATTTCTGGTTTCGATTTTCATCAAAAATTTAAGAACTAAAGAATGCATAAAATTTAGTTTTTATTGGAAGTAAAGAATACGCGTCTATTCATCAAAATTCGACATACAGCTATGATTATAAAATATTTTACTTTTTGGAGTAAAATGTTTCATGTAGTTTAGGTAATATTGATCTTTATAAATAATCAATAACTTAATGAATACGAAATACGTTACAAAACATGCCAAAAATTCAGGCTTCAATCAATACACCAAAATCTTGTTATCTGCCAAGAAAGGGAACAGCATACTGTATAGTAATGTTAGAAAGAAATGTCAGCAATTGAAACTAATGGCCATCAAAATTGGCCGAATGCCTTGATCATAGGAGGAAGTATTAAATTTATAATCTGTACACACGCAACGAATACTGTGATATGCTCTTGAGTCTACAATAAGCCACACTCAATACTCCAAATGTTAGTTCATATTAATGTTCGATTAAAACTCTGTGGGAGCTCTCTTAGGGGGCGCAGGACAAACAGAATGATCTATCAGTAGCCTTATCATAGTTAAGGACAGAGCACAAAGTACAAAATACTTCACTACACCCGTCACAGAGTCTGGTACAAGGAGTGCAGAAGTAGCGGGTGCAATGCGCGCACACTTTACTTGGTATAGTGCTGTTGCAGATGTGGCAGTGCGCGACCGCGTGTGAGGTCACCACTACTTCGACTGGAGGTTGATTTTCCTTGTTTTCGTTCCAGAATTTCTGCTGGCCATCAAGGAGGAGGGTCTTGGTTTTGTCCATCATTTGTTTCATCAGGTCGTCGTTCATTTTGGCAGCGTGCTTCATGGTGATGTGAGTTTTAAACTGTTGCGGGGAGGTGTCGGCGAAGGGACATTTTCGTTTACCGGACATTTTCTGAGAGCTTACATATTATCAATAGGTCAGCTGCATCAATGGTTTCAAACAATATTATGCTATGAATTACCATATTTCATTCAGCGAAAGATTTGTTAGACTTACGAATTTTAAAAACATTCAGCAGTATATTATACTCTATGATAAGCACTGTTGTGTGAGCAGGTGTAATGACTTACCGAACATTCAGAGAGGTAAAAATTAGAACACATAATCAAATAGATACAGTAGTTTTGATCGCTATGTATACAAAAATTTAAAAATGTACAATAATTATTGTCAGCAAAACAAATATATTCTTAACATTTGCCAATTTAAACTTCAACAGCAGAGAGAAATTGGCTATAAACTCAGTAACTAAACCTGAAATTCTTGTAAGGGTTGTTCAAGGAGAAATAATCAAAATGGAAAATGAATAAAAATCAACCATTTAATTCAAAAGATTAATCTAAGGATCGTCAAATTGGGCCCACTTTCTAAAGAAACTGTCTCTTTTCGTATGATGAAATTAAAGTGATGAAATCTTCTGAACTTGCAATCAAGACACTGATCTATAACTAATGTATAACTATAATCAAACCAACTTGATAAAGAATCTAGCAATTATGTAACTGCCGAATGCCGATGAAATATTTTAATGCAAACAAATAATGACCAATGAAATGTAATAACAATTGCTAATCTCTCCGAATCGAACATCCTTCTGCAGCTTGATATGAGATCGAATTCTTGCTTATTTACTGATAGCGGAGATTTCCTAAAAATTCGTCGATGTCTTTATCGATGTATCCTTTCGACTGAAATTAGAATTTAGTATTTAAGTTACATTATAACGGATACAATCTGTTGATTTAAACACGAATAATCGATTTCAATGTATGATAACAATAAAAGAAGGTAGTCTTCATTATATCAGCACCATGATTATTATATATTGACTCACCTTTTTCTTTTTCAGTGACTTCTTCTGAGATCCAGATTTCGAGTTGCTGGGTGAGATTTTGATCTTACTATTCTCACCGGACGATTTTCTCTTCTCCTTAGCTTTAGAAGAATTCAACATATTAAGACAAGTTTTCCTGTGCAGAGTGAGCCCACTCTTACTGCTACACTTCCTCCCACAATTAGAACAGATCAAGTACATCTTGGAACATGTCTCTGAATGTACGGTAAGAACAGCCAAGGAAGGAAACGATTTTCGACAGATTTCACATGTAAAACTAGACTTTAGTTTCATTTTGTTCTCCACGTTTTGGTACCAGGTGTCACAGCTGTCCTCTATAACGGAGGGGCTGTTTTCTTTGGTCCTGTTGTTTTCAACCGCACTCCTGTTCAAATCACCTGATTTCCTGACACTTTTATCCAGGAGTTTTGGGTGCCGATCCTTACCCTTGGAAATACTTAAACGAGTCCGAGATTCCAACCGTGATGTCAACCTGATGTCTGGATGACACCCTGCTTGAGGTGCAACTTCGTCTCCATCGATAACAAGTTCCTGGGAATCGTTTATGTCATCCTCCATTTCGATAAATGAAGGAAGATGTTCAGCTTCCTCTAATTCTGTTGCTAATTCCTCGCCGTTGTCTTGAACTTCATGTTCAGCAGCTACCAGTATATCTTTAGATTTAACACCCTTCTTTCGAGAGTCGCTAGGTTTAAGTGGTGGTACATAACGCTCTTTCTTCATGAGTGGTATCAACCTTAGCTTGGGACTTTTGACTGGGGATTTCTTAAGTGGAGAATCTACCTCAGATTCTGATAAAGCAACAGACTTAGACAGGTCTTTTGCAGAAAAGAGGCCAAGTTCATCGCTCGTAGCACTGATATGTTGCTCCTCATCAGATGAGTCAAGCAGATCTTTGTCTTGAGAGGATATAGGAGGGAGTTTGGTGGTTTTCTCCCTGACCTCGTCATCACTCGCTGCTTCCTCTTGCTCGTTTTCAGACTCTTCATCTTCTTTCTGGTTCCTGTACAGTGTCCTGTTCGTTATCTCTGCTTTTGGAGACATGTTTACTGATGATGAGGAAATTGTTGGGAAGAGACTTGACACTGTTATTGAGTTATTATTCTCGTCATAGTTCTTGGGCGAGTCGATATTTTCCTGATCCTTGAAGCTGAACGTTTTGGTGCTGGGGCATTTTCCTTTCTGATTATCTTTGTAATGATTACTGTGACAAGAGCAAGAGTTCTGGGAGCCTTCTGGGATAAAAACTGGTTTAGGTCGAGATGCTTCATCAATATCAAAACTAGAATTAGCATTTTCTTCTATAAACGACGGCATGATGGTGTCAGCAATTTTCTGTCTGACAGATAATGCTGCAGATACAGCTACTTTGGAAGTAACTGGAGTGGAACTATTCTGGGGACTTTTTGGAAGGTTTGAAGAATTATTAAAAGACTTGAGGAGACTCTCTGCCATAACACTATCTGACTCGCTCATGTGACGAAACCGAGGAGTGCTAATCACAGAGTCCTCTCCTTCAGAGCTTAGGGACTCGTTAACAAACTCTGGAGTGATCGGAGGCTTCTTGAGTGATTCCTTCTCTTTCTCTCTTTTCTTTTTCTTCTTTTTGATTTTACTGCAGAGCTTTTTGCTTTTGCTGGAAAGCTTTTCACTGGCATCTTTTTTAGATTTCCGTCGTTTCTTTTTCCGTTTTTTATCCGTTGGAACCTCTACTGGTATTGGACCCCCTGGGACACCAACATCTAATAGGAAGTCACTTCCAGCTCTGGGAGAATGCACTTCCGAGATTTGCACGCTCTTTTCCTTTGACCTTCTTTTCTTCTTTTTTTTAACACCAGATGGCGGTGGTGGTGTCTTGAAATCCGTTTCTGCTATACTTTTTCTGATTTTTTGATCCCAAGAAACGAAAGTAGTTTTGGGTATCGTTGCACTGTTAGAACCTGCAGCAGACTCTAGTTCCGATGTATCAACACTAGTATTCGGTTGTGACTCAGGCTTATCTGGAACCTTCACAGCGTCCTTGATCTTCTTTGATTCCAAATCTGTGCCAGTTTCCGTTGATGTTTGAGGGGCGTTCACCTTGACAATCTTCTCAGACCTATCCACAAGATATAGTTGATCTATCTGACTCAGCTGCTGATGATACGGTCGGTGGAGTTGACCGAAGAACTTCTGAGCTTCTTGCTGAGGGCTAGGTTTGACGAAGTTGTAGATTGGAGCAACTGTATCTCCGGACACATGAAATGAGGAGGGAACTGGATCTGGGGCCTGGCTCGGTTTTGGTAGTATATGTTGGTACTGAGTGTGAATAGGAGGAAGCACTATAATCTCCATGTTGGGGTTTCTCTGTGCCATGGAGAATGTTTTCTGATTTCTTATCAATATAGGATCAAAAGACAAATTACCATCAGTTGTGTTTGGTTGAGATGATGATGCACAATGAGTAGGATTGGTATTATCAGAAATGAGGGGAGAGGCAGCTTGTTGGAAAGCACCAGTGATATGGTCACGAGCCGTTGACTCAGCTGCTGTCGGGACACTGGCTTGAGAAGTCGTCGTAACAGTTCTGTTTTCAATACGAGCTAATGCTACTGATTGTTGGGGAAATGAAATGTCTGAAATTGTGATGGAAACAGCTGCAGGGCTGGGTGAGTCTGCTGAGGTAACCGGCGAAGAGTTCAATTGATGCGGTAATATGTTTGAGGTTGCAGTAGATGTTATAACTAGAGCTGAGGGTTTGATTGCAGGAGGAGTGGCTGTTGGTACCAGTTCGGCTGACTGATTGAGAGCAAGTAAAGATAGAGCAGCTTCTTCGTTTTTACTGTCGTTGTTATTGTAGTCGATACATAACCGTGGTTGTGGTAGATCTTCATTTGTCAGCTCTGAAATTTTTATTTTATTTTTAAACTGACTTATGATAGATTTCGAAATCTTAATAATCTGAAATCGGAGCAAAATTTTCTGCTTTAAGTCGGTGATGAATTCTTACCGAGATCCCACACAAGGGAAACAGTCATTCAAGCAAGGCAAAGGTTTTTTGTACCGAGAACAAATATAATGAGAAAAGCTGGTGAGGAGCCGATTGGTGTCGAACCCCAGTCAATTCATGCATAATTTATTTAAATAATGAAAACAATTACCGGACTGATCAGGATTTTGAGACAAGGAAGATATGAATTGCTCCAGCCAGGGTTCCACAGAGTTGAGTGTGTCCAGTGCTGCCTTTTCATTCTGGAAATAAACAACAGTCATTTCAAGCAAGAACATCAAGATAATTATTCATTAAGTTCCAAAACGGGGGTTTGTCTAAAAAAGGACCCTAAAAATGAATTAGGTCGCCAGAAACATTTCATCATAGTATTATAGATGATCATAATGTAGAACCCCTACCTTGGCATTAATGTTATCTGTCAAAGTTTGAACAAAAGATCCCTGAATATCCGATGTTACCCCCTTTTTTGGGGTAGCAGCTTTTCTTCTCGAGGTCGACAATCTCTTTTCAGGAGTTCTTAAGACATTGTCTGAAACATTCTTTTCATCACCCAAGCTCTTCTCAGCTGACTTTACTGATGATAGTTCTGGGAACATCAATGGATTTAATTTTACTGAAGAATTGTGATGTGTCTGTTGCATAAGAGAGTTTTCAAAGCCTGATGTAGTGAGCTGAGTATCTGTAGTATATAAGGATGTGTTAAGTGGTGGAATGCAAGGGGAGGAGACAGAGAACCGAGAGTTGTTATTTTCTTGTGTTGATGTTGTCTTTCTGTGCTTTATTTTGGAGTCACGCTCACTGGAATGTCTTTTTCTTTTTTTCAAACGTTTCCTGCAAAGAGTCATTGCTATAATCTTTCTGATAAATGTTGAGATAAAAGATTATTTTAAAAATCTTGATAATATTGTTATGTTTATCATGGCCTAAAATTTGTGGACACAACATTCAGATGTTAGCTGGACTATCTATTGCGCAATTCCCATGCCCACTGATAATTCATTGTTGACTTGTTTAGTCGCTATGACCATCACCCAATAAAATGGCATTGTTGGATGATATCATGCAGGGATGATCAATGATATTCATAATATTATAACAGGCACTCCACAAACTGTTGATCTAGGCTTTGGTGGCATTTGTAATTACCGTATGTGTAACATTTCTTTCTCCAATTCCTTCAGCTTCTCTGCTTCTGATTGACCTGGTAATTTAATGTATAGTTAACGTGTTATCCCTGAAATGTAAACCTTGACTATTTAAACATTTAACTAGCGAGATTTTAGCACATCTGAAAATTATCACAGTATATTATGACACCGTTTGGAAATGGTACACAGCAAACTGTTATTAAAAATCTTAAATATAAGCCTATCCTGAGACCTCTTTCCTGAGCTTCGTCATATGATTTTAATCTGGACTCTAAATCCCCATTTGAGAGGAGATTTTCTAGAACCTGAAAAAAATGAAATGATATGAACATCTTTCCTATAAAACAGAACCACTGGAAGGTTAGTGAAATTTTCAAAATCTGGTTCAAAACAAATTACCTTATCATAGGTTTGATATCATAATTTCCCCTTTTATATTGTATGAAATATAAAGAAAATGTTCAATTCGAACATACAAATTATTCATGTATTACAACAAGGACAAATCATATCTGAAGGTGTAACCAGTCCACACCTTGGCTCTTTAATATGAAGGACTTGTTTTAATTTTAAATGAAAAGCTCGAATATTTTAAAAATAAGTCACACAGCCACATTTGAGCATAGATAGTTATGGGCAAATTTACACAGAACAACAAAATGAAGGGGGAGAATATTTTATATAACTTACACAAGAAAATATATTTGGCAAAGGGTCAGACAGTTTGAGGCTGGAACACTCATTGTTAAAACAAAAAGAAGTTTCGTTGTAACCATTTTTCTTTAGATAATCATAGACAAGCACACTTATTTCCCATGGTTTTATCATCTCAGATCTGAAAGATATTGTGAGAATCTCTCTTCGACAATCCCCCACTTCAAGAAAGAGTGAGGAGAGAGGAGAATAATGAATATTATCATTATATTACATCTTACACTTTTACATTCGTTGCTAAATTGTAGCTCTCTTATCAGTTTTAAACTAATTACAACACTACAAATCTATTACATTTATTGAGGACCCCCAGTGGGAACTAATGCCTCGGTAAATGTAACGACCATTACAGGTTGTATGTCATGTAAATGGTTGTTGCACGATAAAGTTATCTTAAAGACATCCTAAGGACTATCAGACATCGGTTTTTAAAGCAGTTTACTCCCATCTATCACCTAAAGATTATCAGACATCACTTATCCTTATCCTCCGGAGTGCTACAAAGGTACTGTAATCATTAACTAAATTTCGAACAGTAGCATCTTTTTGTGATAAACTATGTCTAGAATACCAGTTGGCTCAAGACATTACAATCTGAGATATCGAGGGAATTCTGTTAAATTCCCCAGCAACGGCTCTTGTCCTACTGATAAATGTTCAAATTGTTTAACTCTATTAAGAGAGAATGATAGTCTTCGTCGGCAAATTTCTTTTCTCTATAAACAATTATCAGAAAGTGACAGTGCACTCAAAGTTCCCCTCAGCGATGGTTCACTTATCCCTGTGTTGCCCCAGGTACCTGATCACTGTGAACATTCTATCAATGTTCCCCTCAGTAATAGGTCATCCTCGCATCATGTTTCTGAGTTAACCCAAGAGCTATCCAAATTAGCAGAAGACAGTGAACATTCAGCAGAAATTATCAATTTGGAAAATCCCAAACACTCTGTAAATGGTGACAATGATGTGACCAACTCTATCAATCCATACCAAGATTTGAGTCGAGGAGTTTTTCAGTTTGTTGACACTGCCAAGTTAGATATAGAAACCCACTATACTCATAAGTTTGAGAATAGGGCAGTTGCATATTACGGGGACTTTCCCTACGCTTACAATGGAGGCTTTCATAACACAAGGCCAGTAGCAGACAATCCATACCTAAAGTCTATTTTAGAACGCTTACGCTCACAGTTCCCAACGTTGAAATTCAATAGTGCTATGATTACCAAGTATAGAAATGGTCAGCAAGGAATTCCCTTTCACTCGGATGACGAGAGGTCAATTTCACCAGGCTCCATGATCTCCACCATCTCTTTAGGGGCTACTAGAGTCCTAAGCTTCAGATCCAAACTTAGAGCTCATATTGCTGACCTCACCCTCTCCCATGGTGACATAATGAATATGACCAGACAATCCCAGACCAGCTTTGAACACAGCCTCATCCAGGACAAGTCTGAAACCATGAGAATAAGCATTACTCTGCGCCTAATTGATGGCAGCGCAACCTTATCTACTCTGTCTGATGTTTCCAGTCAAGTTAAGAACACTGAACCCTCGGTCCCTAAGACTAGATCAATAGAACATTCTGGTAAATCTGTGTGTGTCTACATTAGCTCTAGTATGTTCTCCAAATTAGAGGGAGAAAAGCTATCGTCCAAACATCATGAGGCACATGTATTCAGCTACCCTGGTGCCACAGCCAATGCAATCAATGAACGGTTTCAATCAGATGTAAGAAAAGACACTCTCAATACCAATAATGTGAAAAGCATTGTACTTATGTGTGGTACAAATGACGTGGACTCTATCCTGAACAGCCCTCGCAACATGAGGACTAAACTTCTGTGCCCTGATAGTTTTTCTGGTGATGCTAGAGCTCTTGACTTTACAAACAATTGTATTGAAAAACTTGTACTTTTCCTTCACAAGTGGGCACCTGGAGCTGATATTAAAATTGTTAACTTATTACCTCGGGAGAGTTTTTCCAGAAACAAGGTTATAACTGATATCAATGAGTGTATATCAAATCTGCAAAGAAAATACACCTATGTAAAACTGCTCTCAACCGAGACAAATCGTTTCTTGTTTAGTGATAAGAAAGGCTTTAGAAAATCGTCATTTTTTAGTAGTTATGGAGAGGATAATGTCCATCTCAATGATTATGGCATAGTTAAATTAGCAAGGCACTTGAAGTATCATGCACACCATTAGAATACTGCTGAATACTGACATAACACTCCTACCATCAGTTTTATTTTTACAGTACGACATCCAGACAAATACAACCTGCCTTTATTCTGTTTTTTAGTTTAAACACAACTTTACAACTTTTATTCATTCCATTGTGAATTAATAAGATTCACAAGATGACAAATTTTAATAATGCAGCTGATAGGTTTCACAACCTCTGCATTGGTCATTGTAACATTCAAGGAGGGCTTCTCAATTTAGCTAAAAGTAATGAACTTTCCCAACTTATTAGAGATCATAAATTAGACATACTTTCCCTAAATGAGATGAATCTTAATGATACTATTGACACAGACACCATAAATATTCCTTCCTCCTTCAACCTTATGCGATGCGACAGGCCAAACAGTTCTAGGGGTGGTTGTGGCTTAATGATAAACAAAAAACTAGCTTACACAGAATTAGTTATGGATAGTAAGCTTGATAACATTGAAGCATTATGGGTGAAGCTTAAGAATAGCAAGATCAATGTTTGCTGCTTCTATCGCTCTGGAAATTATTGCAGTGTTGATAACTTTATTGAATACATTCATTTTTGCATGAAAAAATTGAATGGGAAAAAGGTTATCTGGATTGGGATATAAACATTGACCAGAATAATATCTCATCCACCCAGTACAAAAAATTAGATATGACCTTGAGATGTTACAATCTAGTTCAAACCATTCAAGGGATAACTAGAGTTGCTAAACGTGGAGACAATTTTACCCAGACTACTATTGATGTAATATTCACTAACTGTTATGCAGATTTTGTCCAATCTTCTGTTCTTGATGAACGTATAGGAGATCATCAAGCTATTATGTGTGAGATAGATTGTAAAGTACCTATAGCTCCTAAATTTGAGAAGGTTGAAATTAGAAATCATTGTAAACGTAATGTTAAACAATTCTTAGACTATCTAGATACCTGTTCTGATTACAGTCCACTATTGGAAAGTACAGATGTTGAAGCTATCACTGCTGGCCTTTGTCATCATATTGAACAGGCATATGCAACCTTCTTCCCTTGCAAGACCATAGAAAGGCATGAAAAGTTCATACATAAACCTTCTACTGAACTTTTAAATGCCATTAATCATACACATTTTCTTCTAAAGAAATTCCGTAAAAAGAAGGATAAGAGAGACAATGGAAATTGCAATGAATGTGGTACATGTAGCAAATGTATAAAGTGTAATGAGGCCTGGGATTGCTACAAGATTCAGAGAAATATTAGAAATAAATTAGCTAAAACCTGCAAAAAGGCTAATGTAATCGATGATCTACAAGTTAAAAGTGCCAAGAATGATCTTAAAGGGATATGGAAAACTATCAAACTGGCATCAAATATGACCCCTGGTACAACTAATTGTCAAACTATCAATGAGAATGATCCTGAGCTATTTAACTTTCATTTTGCAAATGTTGGATCAAGATTACAAAATCAGGCCCCCAATATTGAAAGAGTTAGTTTTACTGATTTTTTACCTCCTAGAACTTCTAATATCTCATTTGATAGATTCCAAGAAATAAATGAAACTGATATCCTAATGTATGTCGAAACGCTCAAGAATGACAAGGCCTCATATGACAATGTGCCTCTATTTTTACTTAAGCAAGCTGTACCACACATAGTTGAGCCACTGACCCACATTGTCAATCTGAGCCTTAATACAGGTGTTGTACCAACCCTTTGTAAAAAAGCTAGAGTAACTCCCATCCATAAGGCAGGAATGAAAGATGATCCTAATAATTACAGGCCAATATCCATCCTTCCACTTGTAGGAAAACTTATAGAATACTTTGTCGGCAAGCAACTCACTGATTACATGGAAGAGAACAAACTTTTCATCCGGCATCAATATGGCTTTCGGAAAAATCACTCCACAACTTATCTGATGTACGATCTGATGGACGAAATATATATGAGTAAATCTAAGTCTTATAAACCAGGAATCATCTTTCTTGATCTTAAGAAGGCCTTTGACACAGTGAATCATGAAATATTGCTTCAAAAATTGGCATATTATGGAATTGGTGGCATTGCTTTAACCTGGTTTAAGAACTTCTTATCTTGTAGATATCAATGCACTAGGATCAATGGCAATCTAAGCTCATTTTTAGAAGTTCTGAGTGGTGTACCACAAGGAAGCATCATTGGGCCTATATTATTTAGTATCTTCATAAATGACATCATTTATGCCTGTAACCTATCTAAGCCCTTTCTATTTGCAGATGATGGTGCACTATTCTTTGATCAAACCTGCAGAAGCACATTTATAAACATGAAAATAGAACTTATGACAATCTTTAAATGGCTCAGTGTTAATAAATTATCACTCAATGAAAAGAAGACTGAATTCCTATTGTTTGATTCTGTTGACCAACATGATGAAATAACCATTGATTGTAATGAGGTAACTTTCACAATCAAGGAGTGCAAAGAGACAAAATATCTTGGCCTCATTCTAGATAGTAAATTAAACTTCAAAAGCCATGTAGATTATATTATTAGGAAGGTCATGAAGAGAATTGGTGCCATGTATAGAAGTAAAGCACTGCTACCCATTAAATATAGGAAAATGTTTGCCAATGCACTCATGTTGCCACAATTCGATTATTTAGACACGATCTATTGTAGAGCTGGCAAGACAAAACTTGCTGAACTTGACACTCTGTACAAAAAGGTAGCCAAAATAGCTCTCAACGTTCCAAAAACAGAGAGCAGCCTTAATGTTTATAGAGACATGAAATGGTTACCACTCCATCTTAGACGACAACTCCATCTGTCAAATTATATGTTTAGAATCATCCATGACAATTGTCCTACAAACTTTATGAACAAATTTAGTTACATATCAGGAGGTAGTAGGAGCGGCGAAAGCTGCAACCTTTATGTCAATAGATCAACATCACATAAAAACTTTCAATACTTGGGGGCAAAATGTTGGAATAATGTTCCAACAGATCTACGAAATCTGCCCGATGTTAAAAGCTTTAGTGATTCGTATAAGAAACAGCTACTATCATCTATAACAACAGACCCTAATTATACCGTCGACAATTCATATGAAAAATTTTACACTGCAATCATAGTCGACGATAACTAAGTAACTTCTAATTCTTTTAAATCTGAGGCATATATAATTGATGTATCAAAAAGATATTCCCTTTTTTACCACCTTACCATTCTGATTGATTTTGCACATGACTGACATGTTTTAACTGGAGAAGGGGTTCCCACAGTGGTAGTTTTATAAACCACTTTTAATTTATTGACCTATTATACTTAGTGGTAGTTTTATAGACCACATTTAATTTATTAACTTATCATACTTAGTATTTATTTTTGGTGACTGTATCACCCAGTTTTAACATTTGATAATTGTACAGTTTATTGACGACACATTGACTGAATGTTATTTTATATTCTAATTTATATTCTAGATATTTTATTTATTTTACAACAGACGACAACTTCCTGTTTTTTCTTCTATATTAGTTACTCATATCTCTTGTACAGACTTTTTTACAAGGACATTGACAAATGATACTCACATTAGGCATTCATTATTGCATCTAAATTATTTCACTTGCATTAGGCTTAGAAATTTATTCTCTGGTCAACAGATTTCAAATGTTTAATTAATTTGTAGTATGACAGTAAGGTATATAAGAAGTTATTTAATTTTGCTTGGGCTATTATATTGACTAGGTATTGAGGTTTAATGATGATATGGAATTTGAATTCTATATAAATTTACACTATGTGGTTGGGGCATTTTGCATAGTAAATATGGTTACTACTCATATATATCATATTATTTGATTGGTATTCGATTTCTGATTATTTCTTAGGAATATGATTATTATATCTCAATTTGGCTTTAGGTAGGGTGCCCCGCTAAAAGAACTGGATTCTTCCAGGAAGCATCCCGTGCACAGACCTTGGTCTACATATATATTAAATTATTAACCATTCATTCTGTATGTGCACGAAAATTTATTTCAATCAATCAATCAGCAGTTTTGTGTGCGCGTTGAATTATCTCTCTCTCTCTGGCTTTGTAGATTTGTATATATTGTTTGTACATTTTCTGTACAACGTGTACGATGCCTGAGCCTTTTCCGCTACAGAATGAACACTTGGATATGGTAGATGATGCTATGGTTGTGAATGGCCAGTTCCTTACGGAGTATGTGAATCAGATACACATGGCAACTGACAGTATTTTCAAGGAAATTAGAAGTAAAATCGGTGTCGAACACAACGATGATGTGCAAGTTGACAAACCGAACCAGAGAAGTGTGCCTAGAGAAAGGTTATCAGAATGGTTAGAGACAGTGTGCTGTTTGCTGAACAATTATTGTGGTCCATTGTTACAATCCGCCACAGAAACAGCTGAAGACAACCGAATGTTCAGGAAAGAAAAAATAGAAGATGTGACTAAAATCATAGAACTACAAGAGAAGTTACTCTCTAAGCAAGAAGAAGATATGGCAAAAATCAGTGATTTGCAGGAGAAGTTAGCTTTGAAGAAAGATGATGAGATTGGAACTGTGAAAAGTGCAGCTCAGAAAGAGATGAAGACCTTTTCGTCTGTGTTGAAAAACATGTGCAAAAACGCCTTTGCACCGAAGAAGATCCAAGCTGCGGTGAAAAGGGTTGCCCTAGAAGAAGATAGAAGCAAAAGTCTAATTATCTTTGGGCTTCCAGAGACTGAGGAGAACCTGGATGCTAAGGTATCTAGTATTTTGTTGGACCATCTCAACGAAAAACCGAAAATTTTGAGATGTTATAGAGTTGGAAAGGACACAAGTGAACGAGTCAGACCAGTTAAATTCACTTTGTCAAGCTCAGATCAAGCTTGTACCATCTTGAGCAAGACTAAGTTATTAAGACTTCTGTTTACATAACTCCTGATAGATCAGCTGCAGACAGAATAGCCTACAAGAAAGTTGTCGTCCAGCTACTCAATAAAAGGACAGCAGAGCCGGACAAAGTTCACGTAATCAGGAACTTTAGAGTCATTAGCTCGGAGAAGGAGCCTTGAGAGTTTTATATTTTCTATAAGTACAATATTATATGTTTTGATTCATTGATTAATTAATTGTTGCTAGGGCCCAATGTTATTGCGGGTGTGGTATTTCTTGCTGCACACTACCGTGTTTTGGTTACCCCTCTTTCAATACATAATTTGGATTTCGATATTCTGGGATAGTGAAAATTAGGGCTATATCGGTTTTTTCCTTTTATAACTGGGTTTATTTAGAAGCATTCAATTCTGTATAATTATGTATTGTTTGAAAAGTTTAAGATTTAAAAAAAAATCATATTAGCTGGTATTAGAAACAATGGCATAAGCTTAAAGTTTCATGTTTGTGCCTAAAAGATAGAAAAATTAGGTGATTTGAGAATATTTGCCAATTAAATCTATATCATTAAATAAATAAATTCTAACGGTTACTACACGCTTCGACACGGCTTAGTGGCGCAGTTCGTTAGTCGACCTGCCTTACTCTTGATATGCCTTTCTGCTAAGGGTTCCGATGGACCTACACAGCCCCCCGGTCTACTTAGCCGAATGCTCGAGAAATCGTGAGTGAGGGTTAAATGGGGAGCTGTACATGATCAATACAGCGTAGCCACGGGCAATGAAAGTGTGGTAAAATACTTTAACCAACGCTGGCCTTAGTTATCGATCCTTCGGTTTCCTTTAAGTGCTGGTGCCAGCCATGGTTGTCCGCAGTAAAAGAAAAAGGGTGGTAGAGTGATTTAGAACACTCGCTTTTAACACGACAAAGGGACAACAGACAAAATGCTCCCCTGTGCCCTGGCTCGAGATATTGGCGAAAAACTGTCTCGTGATATGACCGTATAAGGTTAAGATGGTAATTTCTTGTTAAGGTTATAGGGTTAGGGTTTCATCATATGCTTTTGTTACGGATATTATAGGGTTCAGGCAGGGTTTGCAGGCCTTTAGCCTTAGGGTTGGGATCAAATTAGAAGGTTAGGGTTTCGAATATGGAACTTAGTCGTGTTTATGGCCAGCTAGAGAACGGGTCGAAAAAGTCAAGTGACAGTCGAGTGTAGAGTAATTAATCATCATCCAATTTCCACCGCGATATTTTGTCGAGCTGAATATGAAACATCATGCACCCTTTCAACATCTTCAATTTTTAAATTATGTAACAGTATTTTTTTTTTTTTAGATATAAAATTATTCAAACAATATACACATAATATAGCAATGACCCTATATAAAATCAACCCTTTAAGAATTCAAAAAATTCCCTTAACAATTAAAAATTACCCTTGGCCTTGTGGCTCCAAGTTAAGATCTAGACTGTTTATATCAACAATGTTTTTTCTCGCACCTCTGTCTCCACGGAGAGAAATCACTGTTGTTTATGTAACAGTATAGAATTATTATTATTATCAATTTGATTGAATCCACAAAATGGCGAACTGGAAGCCAGTCTTAAATCTTACAAGTTCTAATCTGAGCAACGTATTAGAGCTATTTCAGCTAGTATAGTGCGATATGTCCAATTTAAGGTTAGGACTGGATCTGGAGGAGTCGTTTTATAGGGCCTACAAAATAATTTCCGCCGGTATTTTTCGAGCTGAACATTTTGCACCCTTTGAACATTCTCGATTGGCATAAATCTCAAAAATGGCTTACCTGGGGACCTCCGCTCCTACTAAATCGCTCGCCCAAATTTTAAGACAATTCTTGTGAAAAGGCCCTTTGGGCATGAAAGTGATCTAAATCGGTGTATTTTTGGACGCTGATTCCGAATCACCCCCATGACGTAGGTTTAAAATGCTTCCCTGGAGAGTTATGGGCAAAAACAAAAAAACCATTTTGGTCACGTGGCTAGTAAAATACGAATTTGATTGTTTAGGACTCGAGTTTGGGTTAGGGTTGTGGTTAGGGTTGTGATAAGGGTTATGGTTAGCTTCGGGGTTATGGTTAGGGTTAGGGTTGGGATAAGGGTTTATTTAAAACCGTTTTGTATGGCTGCAAAACCATAAAAACCAAAGTCACTTGAAATTTTTGGGCGGGCGAATTAGTAAGAGCCGGGGACCTCAGGCTATCATGTTCATAAACCAAATAGAGATTAGGCGGAATGACAGGCTGAGCGCGGCCCAGTACAAATGGCAAGCTCTAGCTGAAAGCTTGTCTTACTGCTCCCACTAACTCGCTCGCCCAAATTAAACAAGCCCGGAATCCGGATGTTTATGTTACTCGTCTAAATTTAAATTTCTTCGCCGCTTTTTTCTCAAAGTATTATGGCCCGATGGTAAGTGCTACGAAGTTGTAGCGCGATGCGTTACTGTGCCGCGCCGAGCTGCCATGAATTGACATCGTCAATTAACTACGAAGTAGCGCGCGCCGGGCTGCAGACCATCAACAATGGTCAAACTTGTCATACCACATACGTTGTATGACCCGCCGCGCACGAAGTGCGCGGCTCCCCCTGTACCGTGGGGGTCGCAACGTGATACAAGGTCAAACAAAAATTCACAGCTTTATAACGTTGCAAATTAATGTGTTTGTCATTTTGTATTACGTCGTGACCCCCGGCCCCACAGTCGTTTCACTTGTTTAAATTGGAAATATGTTGCATGTTTCCAATTTAAGGTTAACACCAGGAATCTGGACAAGTCACTTTATACATTATAAGCCATGGCCAGCGGCTCCCCCTGTATCGTCGAAACTCTACAGTGAAGCGACCGTGGGGTTCACCACGTGCAATACAAGGTATTATGTCGAGCTGAACATCCTTTGACCATTGTTAATGGTTTGGCCCGGCGTGCGGTACTTCGTAGCACTTGCCGTGTGGCGCTACTTCGAAGAAATTTAGACGAGTAACATTCGTCAAAACATCCTGCACCCTTTGAATTTAAATATCCTTGTCATGTCTTAATTGACGATGTCAATTCATGGCAGCTCGGCGCGGCACAGTAACGCATCGCGCTACAATGTCATGTCATACGTTGTATGAATCGCCGCGCACGAGTGCGCGTACTCTCCCCTATTACCTATATCGTATAAACTCTAAAAGGGTTACTGGTGACTGGGCCGCACTCAGCCTGTCATTCCGCCGACTTTAGCTATTCGGCACATATGTTTATAAACATAACAACCTGAGGTGTCCAGGTAATACAGGGGTAGTGAATAAATGACAATTAAATAGGGGTCTCAAAGTTATCAGTGATACAAATGACAAATGACAAGCTTTATACTAGTACTACGCATCATGCCACGTAAAAATTGGGCTTATTACTTAATACATGTTACGACGTTACGTATCACAAATATCAGAGATATTATTTCGCCTTCCGCATGCAACGTATGTGGTATGTCAACTTATTACCTAATACTATACATTACATACTATACATTGAAAAACACTCGCGCCGCGCGGCGCATTCATTGACATGCTATACTAGCTATATATATATATTACATCTCCGCAAGCAATACTTGCGCGCTGCACTTCGCGCTAGTTGTCATGGTAACTAACGGAAGGATTGACCATTGTTAATGGTCTGGCCCGGCGCGCGCTACTTCGTAGCACTTGCCGTCGAGAAGAAAGCGGCGCGCGCTACTTCGAAGAAATTTAGACGAGTAACATCCGTCAAACGGAAGGAAGGACTGACGACATATTTAAACCCACTTATACACCTCGTTTTCCAAAATCCACGTTTTTCTGCACAAAAACGTTCATTCTTAACCTTTCACTATTGTCTTTTTACAAAAAGAGTGTGAACGGAAAAAATCAGTGAGTTTCGCCTAGGTGCCATATTTGATGCTGCTTGGCTTTTGCAGCAAAAATAGCTGTAAACAGTAAAAGTCGCGTAATTTGACCAAATTCGTTGATTTTTGTCGTATTATTTGGATATACCTTTAGTTCCTTGAATGAGATCATTCTAAAAATTGGCGACGACCTTCCAATAGGGCTTTCACAACTGTCCGAAAAATTTGGTGGATATCGAAGTTGATATAGTGATCAAAATACGCTGCTTTTAGCTGTAACATAATGTTTGATACTGATAGTGATGGTTGGATATGCTTTAAATTTTTCGGGCACTTTTCTTGTATGTTTATGAGTAAGCTTACCAATTTTTGTTGCAATCGGAGGTCGGGAAGAATACTCAATATCTATTTGTTTGAAGAAAATTGTGCTGGCCGAAATTAGCGCTAAAAAACCATCCTACGACCTACAGTCGGCACGCGCGGCTAACTGCCACCTAGTGGCAGTGCCAGTAGTGCATCGCGTTACAAGTTTTACAGGTTCTAATCTGACGTATTAGAGCTACTTCAATTAGTGCGTTATTAGTGCTTTTCATGCAACAAGTAAAACAAATCCTTTATGTCATGTTTCCAGGGTTTGGACTGGAATTTCCTGCTTAAAGAACCTCCATCGCATTACATTACATAATTTTCTCAATAAATGTAATAGATTTGTAGTGTTGTAATTAGTTTAAAATTTAAGGTTAAGACTGGATCTGGAGGATCATTTTTGGGCCTACAAAATAATTTTCAACGTTATTTTGTCGATAACATATTTATTTTATCTAAGTTTTGTAAATATGGGTCTATTATAAATAAATTTGGAAAAATAAACAGACCATTTAATTGCAATGCCAATTGCAATACTGAATCTTGAACGTACTTGTAAAAAAGTACATAGTAGGACCCTTACATATTGGTTTTATAACTATAAGGTAAATCTGGATGTACGGTAAATCGGTGTTTTGACTTTTGAGTCCACGTCAGATCGCATGTGGGATATAATATAGTCCACAAGCAACAAGCACGTAATTGAGGTAATTGGTGAAATAGGTAACGTGCCTGAAAAACTCGCTTAAGCAATTGTCATTGCTTAAGCAATTGTCATTGCGACCCCGCAATTGTCATTGCGATCCTTTCAGAAGCCGTATTTGAAAGGATATCATGTTATATCAAACTAACAATTGAGACATCTTATCAAAATTTTGTGGGGAAGATACGGTAAATCGGGGTTCACGGCAAATCGATAAACGGTTGTTTAATTATTTAATTGCTTAAAACTACGATTTTAGATGCTCCGAAATTTAAGACGATTTTTTATTGGTACTTAATCAATAGGAACTAGATTTTATGATTAAAATGTTTACATATATTATGTATTATGTCACCTAAGATTCTTAATATAAAAGTCACCAAAAGACATGAGTAATCAACTTTGATGACTTTATAGCCGTTCAGTTCCTTTTCGCTGGTATGGATGGTGAGTCCAATACTAGTTCTTTAAGCTAAAACTTGGTCGTTTTTCTTGCTGCAGCAAGCCGCAATCAGACAGAGTATCTCGAAAGCCATCACAGAAGCAACGATGATTAGAATGATAACACCGAATTGGTCTGCCAAATCGTTAACTTTCTCAGTACAGCCAGTTTTATAAATTTTATCTTCAGCGCAGCTTTCTAGTTTCAATTCCTGAAACAAATCGATTATACTTTATCATACCCATTCATCACAATAGAGATTTCGATTAGTATATCTTCATATTCTTATTGATAAAAAGCAGGTTGAGACATCAAATGTACATTTCGTCTCCAGTTTATTCTTCATCTCCTGTATCACGCAAGGAATTAAAATGTAAATGGGTATTGGGTACGTAATCGAAGGCATATACTTGAAGTTGAACTACTTGAGCGGGGTTCAGGTTTATGGCAAATAATGTGTGTTGGCAGGATGGCATGCAAGATATAATTTATTGTTTGAACTCTTTTTAAAATAAAGCAGTTTAGATTCGATAGAATATATCGAAATTTCTAAAACATACTTACAGGTATATCCTCGCCGTTCCAATCACTGCAACATCCAGGGGGGACATCGGTCTGAGAGTCTGTTTTCCAGTAGCTAGGACCTTTAGTTAACCTGTAAGTGACAAGCGATATTAGTTCTCTTATTGGTTATTAGTTAAAATAATTTGCCAGTGCCATATAATGAGAGTGCTGAATAACTACTAGTACTACAGCTAATCTCCATCAAATGTTAAGATTTGCAAAAGATGTGAATACATATCTTGCATCCTTTATTTTTATCCATTCTTTATTTTTAAACCGGTATATCAAATTTAATTCTGTTAATAATTACTTTTAATGCAGCTTACCCACAACAATGGAAAATAGACTGGGCTGAGTTAACAGCCAGAATCTCAGTTATATCAGTTAACTCCTCCGCTGACTCCTCTTCCACAAATTGTTTTTTGTACTTCTCGAACAGTTTTTTAGCAGCATCTTCAGTGGCATCAACGAAGGCTTGTTTCTTCACAATAGCTAAGAAAATATGTCAGGATCAATAGACTTGGAAACACCACATTTATTTTCAAACAGGGATTAGATTTAGATTGATTGCTTTTATGTTTTAGAAGCTAATCGGCTGTTAGTGATGTTTGTCTTTATCATGTGTGTACAACTTTACAGTGTACAACTTTACTGAGCGGTGCTCAGCCTATCACTCCGCCATATCTTCATTTATAAATACTAAATCTGGGGTTCCCAGGTAACCCAACTCTGCACCAGTAGCATAGACATAGTCTTTATATTCGTTGTAGTAAGCTTTTTGCTACTCCTATTTTATTTGATAAACGAGTGTATCTAATTGCTGTGTATGTAGGAGTGATGTAGTTCGGCTTATGAATTTTACAGAATTCATGTGACAGGTTTTGAAAGGTTGACGGTGGATTTTGACTTATTATAATAGTAATAATAGTAATAATAGTAATAATAGTAATAGTACTATGTTTACAGTATGCACTGAAGGGGTATCCTATGAAGTTTCTTGAATTTTTAACAGGTACCCCCCCCCCCCCCCCCCCATTTAACTCTCAATTAAGTTTCCTATCATTCGGCTGAGACATTATGAATGGGCCAAGGACACGTTATTATCAAACATCAAGAGGAATGTCTAAAAACCTTGTTATTAGCTAAAGCTTACCAAGAACGACGACTATGATCTCAAGAACAAGGACGACGAGCAAGACGACAAAGTAAATGTTGAGAAGTCCACTCTTTCCAGTTGCAGCTCCGAAACATCCTGCCACTCCGACTAGAAATAGGACACCACCGATCACCATCATCGGGATCAGGATAGAATTGACGTTAGTCCTGAAGTTTGAACATACTTGTTTCAAAAGAACATTTCAATTGAATTTGAATGAATTGGAAACAAATTGATTAAGTGGTGAAAGCTTCTTCATATGATCTGTAGTTTCAGTAAATAAAGCTAGGAAATGGGTTGCAAATCGGGTATAAGAAAGAGGGAGCATAAGCTTTCGTTATTACCAAGTTTATACAAATCTTACGGGCTAGCTTAATCATAATGCTAACGGACCGACCAATTGAAGGCTGTCGATATGCCGTCGAAATACGGTCGAAACCAACATTATTTTATTTTTTATACATTCCGCTCTTTATTAAATATTACTGGTCAAATTTCATTTAAGATAAGAAATCGTGCTTATCAGACTGGATTGAATAACTAGAACTTGGCTGTGTGCCAGCCAGTCGGTGACCGTGAAGACTGAAGTAGGGGTAGGATCAAACATTTTAACTATATAATGGTAAAAATAATACTCACGAGTAATCCTTTAGATCAGGGAAAAAGTCGAACTTCTTCGTGAAGAAGACGACACCAGCAACCAGCATGATAGCACCTGCCACCATCACCACCACGTTGGTGATGATGAGGATGGTCTTCATGATAAACTCGCACATGTTGAGCTACACAGAGGGGAAAGATAATCAATTAAAATACTTGTTCTAAATTCTAATGAACACTATAAGTAATCATAGAGTGTCTGATTCTGAGCAATTAAGTTTGGAATCATTCGATTTTAAATGAACAATTCAAATTTATTTAATTTATCTAGAACATGAATATTATGTCATTAGTAACATTGTAACTTTGACGATCGACCTTTTACTAAAAAGAGCAGTTTCCTTAGTGAGTTAGAGTTAGTCGTATCTACGTGGAAATTATAAGATAAAAAGATATAGTCATCGAAAGCATGATTAAATTGATTGCTTCATCCGTAAATAAATTGTGCTGGTAACGTGTATGGGCAAATTTTATGGAAAATAATTAGGGCAAGTGTATTGAGAATAAATTAAACAATCTGGATGATTCCAAGAAAGTACAAATTCAACGCCAAGAAAATATTGTAACGTAAAAAGCTTTTCTATGATATTAATGCTTTTCAAACAAAGTTACAACGAATTCTTCATGAAGTGCATCCTGGGTTTGGACAAAATATGCCCGTCACAACATTACAATCAACAAAATAAATTTAATCACAGAATCTCAAATACATATAATCATAAATTAAACACAAAAAACAAATTAAACAAGCAATAAATGAATATACAAATTCGCGTCCACTGAAAACTTACTCCTTCATAAATTTAATTTTTGACAATAATTTTTTTAGGCGGTAATATAATGGTTACTCATTTATAAGTCACAAATGATATACTCTACAATACAAATTAATCACAAATACTAAAATAATTAAATGATAATAGGTAACTTTATAACTGAAAAACGATATATGTCGATACAAATTACAAAATAATATTAGGTGATTGAAACATTTCAATAAATTCATCATAAATATCACTACCATATTTTATTATTTACCCCAAATATTATTATTTAATCTTGATTTATAAAACACACGACAGAAGCGAAACAAAATGTATTGTTTGGATTTGAGCTGCATGAAATATGTATGCAAACAGTTACAAAGATTACGGACTGGAACATTTTTTATTAGTCGCATTATAACATTAAACAGTTTTTATACGTACCCGCGTCCCGCGCGCACTTTCAACTTTGATCGCTGGACCATTTAGTTGTTATAATGGTATAACTATAACACTTATTATCTTCGCAAAGTTATTTTGCGCGATATTCTGAATCATTAAGTGACTGTTGGTCGTGGTGCGCGGCACTAAATTGGTCTAGCAATACAAAATTTCACCATACACAGCTAGATTCCATTCATTTATGGAAAATATCGTTTAGTGGAGGATATATTACTGGGCCGCGCTCAGCCTGTTATTCCGCCAAATCTTTATGTTAATGAACATAATAGCCTGGGGTCCTCAGGTAAAGGATATATTAACATTTTGCACTTTATTTCGACATTCGAGTGAATACAAATTGTTCATGTTATACACAAAAAACAAATCTGTTTCAGCTTCCTATCCATGATTCATAAGCAGTGCACAAAGCAATAATTTTAAGCGTATGCATTTGGCATTGCCATTATGCCTAACTATGGTTGCATAGAATTAAAAATAAAATCAAAAATTGGTTTTCATAATCAATTATATGGAATATGATAAATACGCCCGCATTTTTTGTTCAAAAACAACTAAAATCAATGTATTTTTGAACGCTGATTCCAGATCACTTCAGATGACATAACTGATAAGCTAATTTAAAATGCTCTCCTTTCGAGATATCGGCGAGAAGCTGTCTTGATTACGTGATATGACCATATAAGGAATTTGGTCTAATTTTTCGTTAGGGTTAGGGGTTTCAGTTTTAGTGTATGTGATCATGAAGGCGTTCTTTACTCACACAGTTAGTGCTGTTAGGGTCAATTAAGAGGTTACAGGCTGGTTTTATGTCAACTCGGGTACTGGGCAAGGTGATATACAGGGACCACCAGTTTTCAACTTTTGTCTGAATTTTTCGGCATACCTTATGGAACTGAACAAGGTCATTAGTAAGGGGGCTTTATTACAGCTGCTAACCCCCCGGGGTAGAAGAGAAACATCTCTTGGACACTGATTACGCTGATGACATGGCCATGTTAGATAACTCAAAAGAGGGGCTGCAGGAAACCACTGACCTTCTCTGCAAATACAGTGCCTATGCGGGTCTGAAGATTAATGCTGGCAAAACACAGAGCATGGTTGTCAGCAAAAGTGCATCGCAGAGGCCGTATTCTAAAGACGACACTATGGACATCAATGTGGAAAGTCTCCCAATACAGCAGGTCAGCAGCTTCATCAGTGCGGATGGAACAATCGACAAAGAACTATCAGCTCGAATTCTGAAGGCCTCTGGGGCATTCTATCAGCTTAGCAGTATATGGTACGGTCGCAACATCAAGACACCGACTAAAATCAGGATTTAAAAAGCGGCTGTCCTCACTATACTGCTTTATGGAAGTGGGGTATGGAATACCACACAGACGCAGATGAAAAGATTTGAAGTGTTCCATCATAGATGTCTGAGAAGAATCCTGAAAATCAAATGGTTTTTAATTTTATCACGTATCTAATGCTGACGTACGTAAGCGGGCCAACATCGCCCCTGTTGATACTTTCATACGAGCAGCTAGGCTCCGATGGTTTGGCCATGTGGTGAGGATGCCAGAAGAAAGAATACCCAACTATCTTCTGCACTGGATCCCAAAGCATGGTAAAAGATCAAGAGGTAGACCTCGGAAAAACTGGTTGTCATGTGTCCGGGAGGATGCAGCAATCTTCACAGGTGTCGATAACATCACGATAGAAGATGCAGAACAACAAGCAACAAACAGGGTACATTGGAGAGGTCTAATACATCGGAGAAAAGAGTTACTATGTGGTGCAGGCCACTCCAACGACTAGGAGGAGACCTTTTCAAGTACAAGTAAGTAAGATATGCTTCAGTTAGGGATAGGGTTAGGGTTAGGATTGTGGTCAAATCATAGGGTTAAGGTTTCAAATAACCAGTCAGGGCCACTTAGAGAACATGTTAAAAAGTCATGTGACAGTCGAGTGTACAATGATTAATTATCATCATTCAAAGAGAAATCAGCTTGCGGTTGCGCCATAATTCTGTAACTGACATGTAAGTGGTAATGGTTTGAACCAGATATGACATTTAATTTTCAGTGTATAGTTAAAGTTAAATTGTATGAACTATGACGAGCATCTGAAGTTAGTAATACTAATACTAATTTGATTGAGTAAACTAAAACATACTTTTATATCATTATTAATATATATATCTAACAGTGATCATTCAATATTGATCGAGTAACAATTATTTATATACGACATTAATTAAATTTAAATTATAAAGTTACTGTCCAAATAATCAATATTCATCTTATCTAAGCTTAGTAAATATGGTTCTATTAATAAATTTGGAAAAGAAACGAACCATTACAATGCTTAATCTTGAACATCGGTACAAATTTAAAGGTACGGTAAATCGGCATACTATTATCTACGATGTCAGATGTTCTCAAATTTAAGTCGATTTGTTATATATATTGGTACTTAATCAGTAGGAACTAAATTTTCATGATTAACATGTCTACATAATCATATAAGATTCTAAATATAAAAATTACCAAAAGACAAGTAATCAACTTTGATGTCTTAAGGGCCGCTCAGTTCCTTTTCGCTGGTATGGATGGTGAGTCCAATACTAGTTCTTTAAGCTATGTGATCGTTTTTCTTGCTGCAGCAAGCCGCAATCAGACAAAGTATTTCGAAAGCCATCACAGAAGCAACGATGATTAAAGTAGTAACACCGAATTGGTCTGCCAAATCTTTAACCTTCTCAGTGCAGCCAGTTTGATACATTTTAGCTTCAACGCAGCTTTCTAGTTTGGAGTCCTGAAACAAATCGATTATACTTTAAGTTTATCATACTCAGTCATCACAATAGAGATTAGCATATATTCATATTATCAAATGTACGTTTCGTCTCCAGTTTGTTCTTCATCTCCTGTATCCAAGCAATTAAAATGTAAATGGGTATTGGCCTTGGGTACGAAAGCATATACTTGAACTACTGAGAGCGGGGTTTATGGCAAATAATGTGTGTTGGCAGGATGGCATGCAAGATATAATTTATTGTTTTAACTCTTATAAAAATACAGCAGTCTAGATTCGAGAGAATACATCGAAATTTCTTAAACATATCCTTAAAGTTGGACTAATAACTTACAGGTATATTCTCGCCGTTCCAATCACTGCAACAGCCAGGGGGGACATCGGTCTGAGAGTTTGTTTTCCAGTAGCTAGGACCTTCAGTTAACCTGTCAGTGACAAGCGATATTAGTTCTCTTATTGGTTATTAGTTAAAATAATTTGCCAGTGCCATATAATGAGAGTGTTGAATAACTACTGCTAATATCCATCGAATGAATACCTTACATCCTTTATTTTTGTGCATTCTTTATTTGTACACCAATATCAAATTTAATTCTTTTTTAAATTTTGTATACAACGCCCGCTCATGATGCATTGATGCTCATGATACATTGATGCTTCTCCAAGCTCACACAAGTGTCAGCAAGGAGGAAGATATTCATGCATTTCTGCACGAACAATTCTGTTAATAATTATTTTTACTGCAGCTTACCCACAACATTGGAAAATAAACTGGGCTGAGTTAACAGCCAGAATCTCAGTATCAGTTAACACCACTGACTGATCATCGTCCACAAATTTATCTTTGTAAGATTTGAACAGTGTACCGGCAGCTTCCTCAGTGGCATCAATGAAGGCTTGTTTCTTCACAATAGCTAAGAAAATATGTCAGGATCAATAGACTTGGAAACGCCACATTTATTTTCACACAGGGATTAGATTTAGATTGATTGCTTTCAGTTTTATGTTTTAGAAGCTAATCCCCCGGTGCTCAGCCTGTCACTCCGCCATATCTTTATTTATAAACACTAAATCTGGGGTTCCCAGGTAACCCAACTCGGCACAATTAATATATTCTATATTTTCGTTGTAATAAGCTTTCTGCTACACCTATTTTATTTAATAAACGGGCCTATGGCTATCTAATTGCTGTGTCTGTATGATTGATAAGTACTAGTAGTAGTTACTACTACTAGTTCACCTTATGAATTCTACAACCAGGGCCACTTAAAGCATGATTCAAGTGGCGGATTTTTAAAGGTCGACGGTGAATTATGACTTGTTATGAATGAATTTTACTATCGAACATCAATAAGAATTGTCTATAAACTTTATTCTCAGCTAAAGTGTAAAGCTTACCAAGAATGACGACAATGATTTCAAGAACAAGAACGACGAGCACGACGATAAAGTAAATGTTGAGAAGTCCACTCTTTCCAGTGACGGCTCCGAAACATCCTGCCACTCCGACTAGAAATAGGACACCACCGATCACCATCATCGGGATCAGGACAGAATTGACGTTAGTCCTGAAGTTTGGACAAACTTGTTTTAAAAAGACATTTCAATTGAATGAAACATCTTGAATACTGGTGAAAGCTTTTATTTTTGTAGTTAATGATGCTATAATAAATGGGTTACGAATCAGGTATAAGAAAGAGGGAGCAAACGTTTTAATTATTACCAAGTTTATACAAAAATAACGGGCATGCTTAATGCTACCGGACCGACCAATTGAAGGCTGTCGATATGCCGTCGAAATACGGTCGAAACCAACATTATTTTATTTTATAAATATTCCGCTCTTTATTACATATACTGGTCAAATTTCATTTAAGATAAGAAATCGTGCTTATCGGACTGGATTGGATAACTTGGCTGTGTGCCATCCAGTCGGTGACCGTGAAGAATGAAGTAGGGGTAGGATCAAATATTTTAACTATATTAATTTAATGGTAAAAATAATACTCACGAGTAATCCTCTAGTTCAGGGAAGAAGTCGAACTTTTTCGTGAAGAAGACGACACCAGCAACCAACATGATAGCACCTGCCACCATCACCACCACGTTGGTGATGATGAGGATGGTCTTCATGATAAACTCGCACATGTTGAGCTACACAGAGGGGAAAGATAATCAAATACTTGTTCTAAATTCTAATGAACACTGAGTAATTATAAAGTGTCTCATGCTGAATAATTAAGTTCGGAATCGTTAGATTTTACAACACCCTAAATTTGGGCGAATGTATTTAAAATAGATTTAACAATCTCGATAATCCCAAGAAAGTGCAGCGTCAACGCCAAAAAAATATTGTACAGCAAAAAGCTTCTCTGTTATTTATGATAAAACACACTACAGAAAAGAAACCAATTAACAAAATGTATTGTTTAAGCCTTCATGGAATATCCCCGTGTGAAAACAGTGACACACATATCACACGTCATTTGTAACACTAACAGCAAAAAGAAAAATCAACCAGTACTACAAAAGGTCCCAACAGTGAAATTGATAATTCTCTCAAGTCACACCACAGGGAGCACAGTTGAATGAATCTGGAACATTTCTGAAACCTGCCGAGCTACGCACAGAAACAAAACCTAGACTGTATTGAATTTGAAGCCGCCATTTTGATAAATTAGCACATAGAGCAGGTATCGAGTTACCGTGAGCTGGTACCCACGTGATAGTGATTTGCAGCGGCAAACAGAGAGAGCAGTGCAGTGTTATATGAGCTAGCAACAGGACGTGTGGTGCCAGTTTGTAGATTACGTTTTCTTAGTTAGATCATACTTCATAGATATTGATAAAAGAAAATCGGAGATAAGGAAAACAGATTCGTAATTATTGGTTGTCACTGTTATTACAATTACATTAGAGTGTGAACTTATCACTTAATATAACTGTTTTCCAGTTTAAAAAGGTCTCACTTTAACATTACTGAGTACATACAACATAGCTTGCTAGTTTTATTTATCGAATATTGCAATCATGGATCACTTAATCATTCATTCAACCCTTGTAGCACGATATAATATAATTATATTATATGCGCATTAATAATAATATATGCACATTGCACTTGCAGTTCAATTACCTCACAGTTGCACCACTGGGCCGCGCTGCGCTTCCAAATCCAATAATACTTTTCACAACCACTGCATGGTTGCTGCACTGCCACTGGTGAAGCTTAAATCGTTAAACCGTTAAATCGGCAAAATTCACCACTAGGTACTCATGGTCCGGGCCACACCGCGACCGAGCTGCGAAGGAATAGGATTGACAATGACATCGTCACGGTCAATTATAACTCTTAGTTCTGCACCTCTCAAGAATTTTAATATTATTAAATAGTTTTATAATTGAAGATGTCAATTCATGGCAGCTCGGCGCGGCACGGTAGCGCATTTCGCCGATCTAGCCAGGAGAGAAGCCTCATTGAGTGCGCGGCGCGGCACAGTAACGCATCGCGCTACAATAAATAGTATGCAAAAAGTGAAAAGAGCGCCACGAAGACGGAATTTAAAATGGTGATTAATCACTTTATGCACTTGTAGTTGTACGTGATCGTAATGATTGTCGCATAACTTTTTAAACACGTTCTCAAGCTTTTAGGTTTATAACCTATGCACTATGGCTATAAGTATACTACCATTTAGGCGTCATAGAGTCAAGTGATCCTGTGATCTCTCTTGGTCCCCTCACATACGAGCCATTGCAGATAAAGCTCGCCAAAAAGCATTATGGGTTGATCTCAGTGTATATTTCACACACGATCTCACTCCATCATGCTGACGCTATACAAATCAATGGTTCGAAGTCTGATTGAACATTGAATATTGCTGTCCATCATGGCATGATCCCTCAAAAATCAGCGGTATCCAAGAACTTGAAAATGTACAGAAAGCATTCACCGCCAGAATGTCAGGAATGCGCGATTTCCACTACTGGGATCGGCTCTTACTAAATTGCTCGCCCAAAAATTTCACTTGACTTTGGTTTTTTTGGTTTTGCAGCCGTACAAAACGGTTTTACATAAACCCGGCCCTAATCCCAACCCTAACACTAACCATAACCCCGAAGCTATCCATAATCTTAACCACAACCCTAACCCTAACCCGGGCCCTAAATAATCGAATTCACGTTTTACTAGCCTGTCACGTGACCAAAACGGTCTTTTGCCCATAACTCTCCAGGGAATTATTTTAACCCTACGTCATGGGGGTGATTCGGAATCAGCGTCCAAAAATACACCGATCTAGATCACTTTCATGCCTAAAGGGCCTTTTCACAAGCATTTTCTTAAAATTTGGGCGAGCGATTTAGTAGGAGCGACTGGGATCGCCTGGTTTAGTGGTCTATCTATCTCTGATGTCTCTTCAACGAAGGCGGGAGCGATTCATCATTCTCCATATGTGGAAAATCCTCCACGGAAAGACCAGCAATAATTTAAACGTTTTATTTGTTTCACGCCCAAGGCTTGGAAACTTTGCAGTAATTCCATCAAAACGTAGAACCAGTTCAACAGCAAACTTTACTTTTATTTGTTTGACAACTCGTTTGCAGTTCAGGGAACTAAATTGTGGAATGCAATCCCCTACCATCTGATCTGAATGTCATTCAAGATCTAGAGCACTTCAAAGATAAGCTCACAAAGCTCACAAAGTTCATGTTGTCTCTCCCTGATAAGCCGCCGATCAGGGGATATACTCCTCCAAATACGAACTCTCTGCTGTGCTGGCGCAACGAACGAGACTCTACTTCGCTATGGGGTATTGGGGTGGTCAGAAGATGTGATGGCCCCGTCAAGTCTTGACGAAACTCAACATAGGTAGGTAGGTTACCTTACTGGGCCGCGCTCAGCCTGTCATTCCGCCAAATCTTTATTAATGTTTATGAACATAATAGCCTGGGGTCCCCAGGTAAGTTACCTTACTGGGCCGCGCTCAGCCTGTCATTCCGCCAAATCTTTATAAGGTTACCAAGCAAGACGCGCGCCGAGTTGGACTCGTCGACGGTCCAATATAAATACTTTGAAACAAATATTTTACAAGTATCACGTGATTTTTATAACTTGTTTATAACTTGTTCTTTAACTGGTCCTTTACTGGGCCGCGCTCAGCCTGTCATTCCGCCAAATCTTTATTCGTTTATGAACATAATAGCCTGGGGTCCCCAGGTAACTGGTCCTGAACGATTATATTTCGAAACCGTAACCCTCGATCTTCATCTAATCTGATCCCAAACCTAACCGGTAACCCTAACCCAATCCTTAACAAAAGCATATGTTGAAACCCTAACATGTAACCCTAACGATAAATTAGACTAACTTCCTTATAGTTATAGTTATACGGACATTATATCACGTGATTGAGACAGTTTTTCGCCAATATCTTGTCAGGGGATTTATATTTTAAATTGAAATACTCCCCCACCACCCACGACATAAGGTTAACATTTTTAACCTTATGTTGTGCGGGGGAGATTCGGAATCAGCGTCCGGAAATACATCGATTGAAGTTGGATTCAACAGCAACTGTCGGGGGCCCTTTTCGAACAATCTCGAAGATCGACTGTAGCATGTAATTAAGTGATTTAGCACGCTTGGTTTTCGCATTATCGTCATTTGACCGTATACTGCACTAGCACTATTAGTTATTTTTTTTCAATACCCATCTAGTGACGGATGTAACTAGTCTAAATTTCTTCGAAGTAGCGCGCGCCGGGCTAGTCCATTAACAATGGACATCAACATGCATGTACATGACTAATGACTATTCAATAAAATTTGGCTCGATCCGACTATCCAAACTAACAAATAAATGCTTGTAGCGCGATGCGTTACTGGTTACTGTGCCGCGCCGCGCACTCAATGAGGCTTCTCACAGCGACAGATGTGAGATGCGCTACTACTGTGCCGCGCCGAGCTGCGATGAATTGACATCGTCAATTGAATAAATGCGAAAATGAACCTTAATTTTTTAAATGATCAACACGATATTTTTCGATTTTACAAATTCCTCGAACCAGTGGTGGTAGTAAGTCATACCAGAAAGAATTATTTAATTGGGTACTCAGTAACTGAGCTATTAAGGCCAACGTATGGGTACTGACTTTTGGCCCACCCTGTATATATTTAACTTTACGTTAGACTTAGAGAAGTGAAAATTTAATGTAATGCGTCGAATTTAACATACCAATGGCAATATGCAACGAAGTAAAACATTAAACTAAAAGAGTAATATATTTAACTTTAAATTTGACACGATAAAATATATATTTATAATGAACAATTCGACAGTGAAACTTTAACTTGAGTAGTATTACCTAGTTTTTAATACATTTGCATATTATCGCCTTCTGACTGTCAAATACAAAATAAAAATATTATAGACCATATTTAACTTTATTTGTAAATCTAACTCAGGCTTAGAAAAATGATAGCGAATTTTTTAATTAAAATAGTAGCACTTTCTAATTAATTGGAATCGAATTTGGTCGGTAAAACCAGATACCATGCTCCAAGTATGGAAACACCATAAGCTATGAAATAAAATCTCCTACAAAACTCTATCTACTGACAAAATTGACATGTTCATAGGTAATTCTAATACTTTATGCTACCATTTCCTGTTTCTTGCTATAGCAGGCAGCAATCAGACAAAGTAACTCAAACACGATGATCACAACCATGACAACGATGATAACAACTCCGAATTCGTCAGCCATATCGTTAACTTTCTGAGTGCAACCAACCTCGTAGGTAGTCTCAGCGCAAGTCATCAATCCAGACGCCTGAAACGAAAAAAATTATCAATAACGGAAATTGATTTGTAGCCCGTTCAGAAAACTCGACGGCTTTCGTTTAAAAGAATACTCTGGAATTTCTCGCGAAATTTTATAATCGAATGCCTAACCCCAAAAATTACATATAATTAATTATATTCTAAGATTGAAATCTGGCAATTTCCGTTACATAGATGATTTTAAAAAGTGATCCAAATACACTTTTCAAGATCTCAGATAGAAACCGAAATGATGCAACGCACGCGTGAAAACGAGAAACCAAAGTTTAACTTACAGGAAGATCCTCTCCACCCCATTCAGAACAGCAACCAGGGGGAACCTGTGTGTTGCCATTAGTTTTCCACCAGCTAGGTCCATCTACCAACCTGACATTATAATTTCATTAGTCCTGGCATTATAACACTTCGTCTGCTATCGTCGGGACATTAGAAAATTAATTTAAATATGTTTTCAATGGAGTAATTAGGGGAAATATCAGACTGAAAATGCAGATGATTGCCTTAGTTATTATTAGATAAGATAGTTCTTTCATTCAAATTTCTGGTTGTTTTTTAATAGATTCAGTGAAGGAAGATTCTAACGGAAATAAATAGCTGAATATTAAAACTTTTAATACTTTCAACACTACTATATAACAAATAATTCGAGAATATGAGTATGACGTAGAAATGTCGATACGTTATTCAGCTATTTATTTCCATTAAAATCTCTCTTCACTGAGTCTATTCAGTATTCAGTAACAATCACAAATTTGAATGAAAGAACTATCAAATCATGAGACTCTATAACACTACAAGTACACGAATCCACCATATTAGATAAAATTTCATCATCGCGACTTCATATCAGTTAGTTTCACTTACCCGCAGCATTCGAAAACAAACTGGGCGGTGTTCACAGCCAGAGCAACGTCCGCGTCAATATCTCCGTTATCCACAACATAATGACTTTTGTAGTTGTTGAACAGCTCTTCGGCTTTCTCTTCAGTAGCCTCCACGAAGTCGGCTTTCCTCACAATTCCTAAAGAAGAACTCAAGGTTAGCGTTTTGTTACTCCTGTATGTACAATGTGTATTATAACTGTGCATATTATAGCTAAATTATAGTTGACAGAGTTCATGATCTGGAAGATTCCAGTAGCGTTTAAGAAGACGGTAAAGTTATGAGACAGGTTCAGGACAGATTTATCACCAAAAAGTAACAAGAAATAATGCGATAGACTCACCGAGTATAATAACAACAATCTCAAGAATGACAACGATGAGAACCACAACAAAGTAGAGGTTGAGAAGTCCGCTCTTGCCAGTCACGGCTCCACAGCATCCTACTACTCCCACTAGGAAGAGGATAACACCGATCACTATCATCGGGATCAGAACCGCATTCACGTTGTTCCTGAGGTTGACACAACGTTTTAAAAAACATTGAAAAAATCAACAAGTTTGACTCCGATATATAAAACCAAAAGAAAAGCGTCAACATTATATACCGACTATTTATAATACAGTATAATACCAGCTATTATAACCACACTCACGAGTAATCCTCTAGTTCAGGGAAGAAGTCGAACTTCTTGGTGAAGAAGACGATACCAGCCACCAGCATTACAATGCCAGCCAACATTACCACCACGTTGGTGATGATGAGGATGGCCTTCATCAGAACGTCACAGCAACCCATTATGTGCTAAATGGGGCATTGGGGTCAGATAATAAATAAATTAAAAATAGTTATCTAGACTGATCTATAGTTATACTGGATACATTTGGAATTAGAGGTTAAACCTGAAAACCTCGTTAAAAATAACGTAAAAGATATTTCATTATGAAAAAACTAAAACAAACGATCCTTCTCATGAAACACGTTCGACATCTAAAGTATTAATGTCGAGCACAAACCAAAGTACATACATGATCTAAGTCAAGTAAAAGGTATCACAGTTCAGGAGCTTCCGCACTTATTTCATATAATTATAAACGTATGTGAAGTGTGAAGTAAGTCTGCATGTGAAGTGTCCGTGTACAAACACGCAATGTTCACATTAAGATGCATAGTGTTTAGTGTAAGTGATAAGATGGTTTAGAGCCGCTGTCCACGAACATATCTTATTCCAAACTACATCATATTCAGAACCAGACGTGGAAAAGAAAATTTAAAATATAAATAAATTAAACCAAAAAAACAAGTTGAAAGAATAAAGGGAGCTAATGTTACGCAGATACTGTCAGTGTCACTGATAATACATTCCAGTGGTGTAAATGAATAATGAATATGGAGTAGTCGCCTCGAATTGAGCGACTTATACCTTATTAAGCGAGTAAAGTGTCAACCGTGTTAATAGCACTCTCCATTATTCTGGCTACAATCCAAGTTTATAGGTGTGCGGTGACCACACCACAGTAAACTGTGCCAAGAAATCTGACGCTCTGAATACAAAGCTTTTAATACCCAGCATCCCTAGTTCATCATCATCATTAGTTCATTAACTTTAAGGATTATCTTTTATTAATTTAATTAATCTTTACAATGTCATCACTCACCTTCGCCGCAGGTGAGTAACTTATAAACACTGTGTTGCTATCAGAGACAGAAGATATAAACAAGAGAAGGGATAACAAAGACGTATAATAGAACGGAGGTACAATAACACAAACACTGGAACAAAGATGGTACCCGGCCGAGCGAAAGCAATTAACAAACAGTGGGAACAAACTAGCAGGTAGCGTTGAAGAGCAGCAATTATCAAAGTGGCGGTTAATTCAGTCCGGAACTACTGTAGCCAGGAAACACTAATACAGCTTCGCAAACCGAGTGTAACAAAGCGTGTAACCACGGTGGAATTGTCGGACAGGAGGGTGTGGAATGTGGATAGTTATTGGGTAATATCATTATCAGTCCGAACACTGAACTGGGTGTAAAGTCTCCCTTTATAACAGAGTAGGATGTAGTAGACTGTAGCTGTTTATATAAAATGCCATCGACTAATGATGAATATTGAATGGTGGCCTGTAGATCATTTGTTCTAAGAATGTAAAGCAGTAGGGTATAACACTCGCTTTAACACAATATGTTAATGTAGCAGTGGTCGTTCAACGGCTGAAGACGATTTACACGAGTATTTTAAAGCTCCTGCTAATAAAATCCTTTCGTATCACTTATATGTTTTAAATATCCCCCTCCAGGTCGTTTAACGGGTTCTCTTGCGATAGTGTAAACGCGATAGCTAGCGCCATCCAGCGACAACCAGCGCTATCCAGCGCTAGTTGCCGTCACTATCGCAAAAGAACCGTTTAACGGAGGCTAAGGGTAAAGGATTTACAATCTAAACACTGTATACACTCTATAGAAAATGGGGTTATCGTTTTAGGAATACTGCGTGGATGAACTATAAAAGCTGCCGTGAAATGATATTATAATTGTTTTAAATTCAAAGAATGTGACGCAGCAAAATCTAATAATATGGCAGTGTTTTCTTAAAGAAGATAACGCTATCACAACCAATGCTACGGTCAGTGGTGTATAGGAACAGGAATTCAGAATCTACATTCTACACTTCATAGAAATTGTGGTTATAGAAAAAAGTAGTGGAAGCGTCTCAAGGTCAGATTTGGTTCAGTCACTCAACCACAACACATCTCGTATCTTGTATATCGAAATAAGATACTTTAAACAGATAAGTAAAGATCTGAGATCAGTTTAAATTATAGCTCTGTTCCCATGGAAATCCAATCATTAGGCTGAAGAATTCGGGGAATGTTAGTGTACACGCCACACGGAAATAGTTTTAGGCCAGGTTCTATGCCACGTATCCCTCGTGGGAGTGAAGGGGTGAGGGTGTTAAGCTAAGGAACATCCAACTTAATATAAACGACCTGTCTCTAATCAGCTTTATAATGACATGTACTAAATAATTTAACAAACATACTTCAATCATATTTTCTCACGGAAAGTTTCCTTATATCACACCGGGAGTATACCTTGTTAGAGTTAGTAATACTTAGGGTTAGTTAGACAGTTAGAGAGAGAGTAAGAATTAGAGTTAGTTAAATTAGCATGTTAAACACAACCAGGTCTCATGTTACCAGGAACTAGAGTTTGGGTACTCCGCGTGGAGCTTGTGTAGTTCCACAGGATTATACCTCCGACATGAGATTTGTTAGATAAACAAAATCAGATACGAGAAACGGGAGAAGTCTGTAAAATCATCGAATTACTTTGTAGAAAAACAAGAAGAATGCCAAGAATTTTAATTTATTGACGAGACCGCTATCGACTAAAGACCAGACTATCAGTGCAATGAAACAGCTATTTTTTCAATGACAAGCTGGTTGTTCGAGAAAATCTGCTCTCATTGAAGAATGATATAAATTCTAACATAATAAGACTCCTTTAAATGTGATGTAATGGTAGACCGGTGGCTTCGTTACAGCAAATCAAAACTCGAAAGTGGGGAAATGTTTTAAGAATGGAGAGGTGGAACACGTGACAATTATTAGAATTATTATAGTAACCACGTGATAGTAACCACGTGATAGTAACCACGTGATAGTAACCACGTGATAGTAACCACGTGATAGTAAGAATATTAGGAGCAAACCGATCGAGAGAATAGTATCCAGATATTATGCATTTTATTTCGAATCATTTCAAGATCGTTAATCGTATTACACCAAATTGACGAATTGATTTTGCAACATTCAATAATATCCAACTTTCATTCAGGACAGGATGATTTAAAGAACTAAGTGCTAAAGTGTTTACAGGCTGGGTAGTTATTCCTAGAATCGTCTAAAACGAGATCCAACTCACAATCATCACTTTGAGTAACAAACAAACTCTGTATGAATCATCACATCAGACCTCTCTAAATATTGCTGAAACTTTTGTTGTTTTACACGGACACACAACTCTGAATTGTCATATGTGACAAAATTAGTTTTACAAACAAATGATACATTTCTCGTATCACACAAGTCGTATGTGTTAAGAGATGCTTTTAACGAGTAGCATTATATTCGGTAACCATGTAAGTATGATACAAATAATATTGTAATCTTACATTTCAATGTTGAAGTTGGATAATTCTAAGCCTCGACCAAAAAGGATCAAAATTAATAAACTTGACCGACCACAGCCTGGGCCAGATAGATCGGAACATTAAATAAATAAGCGACAAATAATGACTGTAACCCTCTAACAATATTGACATCTAAGGGCTCCCTGATCTAACAGCCATTAGATCAGATAAACCAGTCGTTATTGAATAGTTACAGGGAAACATAATTGGTGGTAATAGCTTGCCATCCAATTGGAAGCATTGTAATGAGACAGCAACAATGATTCGTAATTAGAAATGTTATATTTAGGAGTAATCAAAATCGATACGTTAACAAAAAAATGGTAAAGTGTCTGACGGGATAATAATGCTGTTAAATGTCACAGTCTAACAAGTTTTTTAAGTCCCGGTAAATTGTTAAAATATAAAACTGTTAAACTGTTAACTCATGTTATCAACAATATACGGCTACAGCCGTTACAATCTACACATTATGTTACGCACTGGTAAAAAGAAAGATAAGAAAGTTGCTTGAATTGCTTCCGTTTAACCACAACACCGCACAGTAAATTGTGTGAACTGAAATAGCACCACCACCAACTGTGACGGAACTGCAATTATCAAACCCTGGCCAGGAAGTACTGCTGAGCTGCTAATTTTGTTGCTAAAATAAAGCGTCTGTTACAAGTGAAACTGATTTGTAAGTGAAAGTGAAACTGATTCAATATCGTGTTTATTATACGGCAAGTTCATGGTATATAAGAATAGATCCGAATAAGTGTGTGGGAAAAAGCGCAAAGAAACGAGGAGTACTAGAAGCTATATACAGGTGTAGAGTGTATACTGTATTATATATCATATATATAAATACATGATAGCCGTGTTGATTGTAGAAGCTTTATAAATGACACGTAAGTCGTATAACCCCAAAACCAATACGAATATTAAGGATCAATACATATATTATATAGCCCGGTAAAGGTAGAATGATTTGTATAATAGCGATATTATAGGGATTATCAATCGCATGGAACTCAACACAGGCGTCTAGAGAATGAATTAAAGAATGTAAATGAGAGTTCATGAATTTATACCGATAACTATGAAATGAGATCACCACCACGCAGGCGTCCGTCAGAACACATGACGTCACGTGTTATGACGTCACGTGTTATGAAACGGCGCGCAAGTATCTATCGTAAATTCCAGATGTTTCATGTATGAGATCATTTGTGCAACCGGGGTAGGAATGTGAGCGGAATCTACTGTAATGTGTGTTATAGTAGAAGTGGAGTACAATGGCTCCGGTTATTCGAGGTAACATAAAATTGGAGGTAATGTTAGAGCATACTCAAAATCCGGTTATATTTGAGCTATACAAACAGTAGGATATAGAATAGAGATAGCATGATCAAGTTGAGACTTAAACTTGTCCTCTGAACGGAGCTACATTCTATATTCCACTGATATGAAGCAAAAAGTGTCCAATAATTAGGGACCTTTAACTTAGTGTAACGTAGTGGTAACAGGAGCTGGAAATAAAGCAACCAAACAAAGATAGTGAAACCGAAACTGGTACATTGTAAAAGAGGGCAATGCAATGGACAAGTATAGTAGGAGATGAGTCTAATTAGCTGGCTTGTGTAAACATTCCACAAATTATGGTATGGAGCAAATAGCCCCGTATGACGTCACGCGATATGAAACTGCACATTTCATAAAATCGTGACATGAGATCACACATGAGATCATTCGTGTGAAACCGGGGTGATTTGTGGTAACATAACACCGGAAGTAATGTTAGAACATGCTAAAGATCCAGTTATATGTGAGCTATACAAACAGTAGGATATAGAATATAGATACTGATAGCGTGATCGTAAGATTTGTCCTCTGAAAGGAGCTACATTCCACTGATAAGAAGCACAAAGTGTCCAATAATTGGGGACCTAGTGTAACGTAGTGGTAGCAGGAGCTGGAAATAAAGCAACCAAACAAAGATAGTGAAACCGAAACTGGTACACTGAACAACTGAACAATGGACAAGAAGAAGAGGAATCTAATTAGCTGGCTTGTGTAAACATTCCACAAACTGTGGTGAGGAGCAAATAGGCCCAATTAACCGGAGACAGGGAGTCTCATTGCAGACAAAGAATGCTGAAAGGCTGGATAGGACCTAGGACATGAAACACAATTAATTGTAGTTAATAGCTCTACAACTTTATGTTACACCTATTTACCCACATTCAGAAATTCGAAATTTCCTCGCAGATTATCTGCAGGACTGCCACCTTTCTGGATGTGGCACGAGGACACAACGGTTTTATAAAATTTTATGAATCTCATCCAGGAAACGACCGCTGTAATCAATTAAGATCAGGATCGAACCCACTTAAATCATTGAAACTTCTGAACACGTAGTTAGCTTTTGT